GGGCAGGGACTGTGGGACCAGCTGGTGAAAGCAAACAGACCTAATCAATACTGAGCCTTTGCAGTAAGAAAATGGAGAACTCCTATGCCTGTGCTGGGTACCAGCAATTTGAGGGGACCGGACATAAAAATGCAAGTGGTCCTTTTCCATCCCTTATATGTTTGCTTAATGTGGAAGAGGAAGCCAGGAAAAAATGAGTCATAAAATATACACGCAGTAAGTCATTGAAAGTTTTAGTATCGTTTGTCTTCCTGCAAGATCTTGCCAGTGGGATTAGAAAAAAAAGGATGAAAGAAGATAAGTTACAGAAGTCATATCTTTATTACCTTCTGACAACCCTGCAAGGCCATGCCAGCACTGCCAAGCGTTTCAGAAGAGCAACAAAAGCAGACATTACATCTGAGCCAAAGTGCTTACGGGCCACTTTCCTCAGGAATCAACGTTCTTGAAGGAACTTCAACAACTGCTGAATAAACTATTGTTCCAGTGGTTGTAAAACTTGCAGGCTGTTAAAATTTACACTAAAGCTGAATTCACACATGTTGGCAGGCTTTACCTACTTATCCATAACGGTTCGAGTTCTTTCTTTACTGAACAGTTAATAGGCTCAGCAGGCCACAGGACCTGCATGTGCACACGTGTGTTGCATGTGCAGATATGACTGTAGACACACACACACACACAGAGGAGGAACAATGTGTTTGATGTCTGTGTGTGTGCTTGCGTATATGTATGTATTCAGCATCTATTCTAACATACATAATTTTTCCCAGGGCGATGAATTTCTAGGCTCATATTTATTGTTGGAGGGAAGAAAAGTAGTTTCATGTCTTATCACCTACCTCCGGTTGCAGTCTTTCTCTAAACAGTCGCTGCTGGATGCAGTGGGGAATTATATTGGCAACTACCGTTAATCTGCTGTGCAAAAGAAGTTCCTAATATACCAGTGTTAGAATCAATCCCTTTGTCTGGTGACTGAGGTACAACTAAAAATTATCCTGCTGTAGAAGTAAAAAAAATCCTCTCGTGATATTTTTTGGTCATGTATTAGTCCTACCACAGATCATAAACAAAGCCATCTTTAGCAGTGCAAACTTTGCAAGCGCTTCAGATGTCAAACAGTTTATCTTATTTCAGGACGTTCTGTCGCTAGTCTGAAAGTGCTCTAACCTCATGTTGTCTCTTAACACTGTCAGTGTGTAAACATACACCTATGTAAAGTTCCCTATATCAACTGGCCTTGTAGTCCCATAAAACGCTTTGAGGTTTCAGTGCTCATCTGGTGTCTCCTGAATACCCCCCAGGGGCTGCCCTGCAGCGGTCCCTAACTTGAGACGGGCCTTTGCTCCTGTAGCACTCACCAGCTGGATCGCACCCTTTGACCCTTCATCTTTTCATCAATGCGGTGTGTCTGCTTCCACATCTGAAGAGAAAAGAGCTTTCACCCTGCTGAGATGAGAGCACCAATTTGGAGATGAGCAAGCAGCTCAGTCCTCCCTCATGTGGTTGCTGTGACAGATCTGTGACTGGGTGGTAAGAAGGGAGCAACAGCAGCTGGAGGAAGCAGAGGTGCTCATGGTGGCCTGATGGTAGGAAGGCATGCTAAGATTGAGGTCTGGGGCTGTCAGGGCCAAACCATCTTTCCACAGCTTTACGGAGGTCTGATTGATTGATTTAGTTCTTCTTGTGTTTGCCTTTATAACAACGTGTTCTCAAAGCCCCTCATCTTATTTGATATAGCCATTAATACTTTGAAAGATATTATGCTCGCAAAATTGTACTTTATGTTGCTGGTTTGGATCATCTTCAGATAAAAGTAGAGCATGCGTGAAGGAAACACATCTCATAGGGATGCTGAATGAATTAACATCATTTTCTGCTTCTCTGTTATAGAAGCATGTGAATATAATTTTTTAAAATCTGTTGCAATTTTGGACATATTAATAGAAGTATTGCCAATGATGCTCATGTGGAGAAAAACAAACCTCCTCCGTTCAGCAAGAAAGAAAATAGAAGATTTTTCTTTCCTGTACATGGCTCTGTGTGTGTGGGTGGGTGGCTCTGTATGACTCTTACAAGTAATGGATTGCTTAGGTCAGCAGCTGGGGAGAACTTGTTCGGACATGGCTAGCAAAAAGCATGTGCCACTATTAAATAAATGATATATCCATTGTAAGACTCAGATTATTAAAAAAATATGGGAAGTCCTTACACCTGACAAACAATTACCGACTTGTCTTCTGACAAATATGTGGCTCAGGTTTGCAAGTAGTAAGGGTTTAAGCAATAGGCTGAAACAGCAACTTGGTATAGTTGTAAATCCCACCCGTTCACTTCTTATAGCTACGAGATTTCCTTAACTCTCATTCCTCCCTTAACCACAATTGCTTTTAACCAAATTTTCAGAACTGTAAGCTACTAAATATTTGCTGTAATCATTTTCCTTAGCTGGTAAGCAGCATTATCAGCTTAAAAGGAATTTTGTATAGTAGTATTATGTCTCAGCAGGTGTAAGCAGCCCCATTTTTCTTGCGCAGAGAAACGGCACCTTCTAATGAACAGAAGTGAGGTGAAACAAATTGTCAGGGTAATCTTGGAGTGGAGCTGGAGCCACAAAGGGGGGTGAGGTGCTGGGTTTCAGGGTGCCTGTGCAAACTACTGAAGGATCCTGCGGTCGGTGGAAAGCGCCAGGGGCTGGTGCTGTGTTGTTTCGTCACTGGTGCGGGACCAGGGACGGGGCTGCTGCTGCCTTTGTGATGATGGGCAAGTAAAGCCCTTGTGGTGGTGTTAATTCCACCTTCCCCACTCTCACAAAGTTGGTAAATTCACTTGTAGTTGTAGGGTTCTCCAATATAAAACTAATAGGGGATGTAACCGCGCAGCTAGCTTAAAAGCAGCTATTGGGAAAGAATTACCAGCAACTATTCTTGGTTGAGTGTAGGTAGACTAAAAATGAGTATATTTAATAGGGTACTCTGCAAAGCTTGTTTTGTGTAAGGGTGTCCCGCTGAACTAGGCTGTGGGCACAGGCAACACACACTTAGGTAGGTCAGCAGGAGATTACCAGCAGACAGTGCCCCCAGCCTTGGGCTTTTGCCCCCCCTCGACGTGCCGTGGGAAGAGTGAAAGGAGGTGCGTGGCCTCAGCGGGGACCGTACAGGCAGAACTTTGTCTGTAAACTGCAGCATATTAACCATCGTAGCCAAAATTAAAGAAATACAATCTTCTCTCCCTGCAGAACAAAGGAAACACATTGACTAGCTGATAGGCTTGTTCTTAAAATAAGGAGTTAATCTAGCCTAAAACACCTAAGAAAAATGTTCTTAAGAGCCATTGGGAAATACTTAACTTTTATTGCTGAGATGCAAGGGCTTGTAAATAACTGGGCTACGGGAGTGGGGAAATCAATGAAGATGACGGGTAGTCTTTATACATTTCCTTTAAGAGCTCCAGTACCTACTGTAGCATCAATTCACATACGTTATGCACACATTAGCACCGATGCGTACGAACCTTGCATGACGCGACTGCCAGCACATAACGTGGCATCTTTAGGTCTAGAGTTGGAAGTTGCCTGTAACAGCCCTAGCCCGGTAAAGGAAAATCACAACATGGATTTGTGGTTTTGCCTTTCCTGCTCCTTCGAGTGCAGTAAAGGCATAAGGCAGCATTCATTTTCTCGTACTCCTTGCTCATGCACCCTTTAAGGTTCCAATTCATTTAGGTATTTAATAAGAGCTTCCATAAAACTCACCCTTGTGGCACACAGGGCCAGGCTTAAAAACCAACAGTACCTCCTCATGTGCAACCAACTTCACCACTAGTAACAGGGAGAACACTATCCTCCCTCCTAATTAAATTAAATAGGTGACTTTTTGTCACTGAAGGCTGCTGCGCTTTGTGGATTGTAACGTTCAGGCGAGACTTCAGTGCAGCAAAGCACATAGTGATTTAGGAATGTAGGAGTGCATCCTGAGTAACTCCTCCTGAAAAAGGAGCATGGTGGGATGCATATCTGCTTTTTCAAATTAATGAAATGGAGAGTCCCATCTCCTCACATTATCATCGAAATCACATACAAAGACAAAGTGATTTTTGCCCTTATATTTTTTATTTTCAGTTACATTACTTTTACCACTGAATGGTAACCCAAGGACAGGATCATGATAGAACTGAGTGGAGTTTGGTGATTAAAATCTATGGATGTTTCTGTATCCTTAGATATGAGATGCTGTGTATATGATCAACCTCTCTTTGATGGGAACATACACTTCAGAAGAGCCCGGAAGAAGAGGGGTTTGTTAGTATTATGCTTGGCGGCAGTGAGGCAGTTGAGTGCTGGATGGCTCAGCGAATGACCAAATTTAAGACTTGCTTCTGAGATGAAACACAAAGCATGGGACTGACAATCTCTGAAAAGCACAGGGTGCCCTGCCACGGTACATTACCAAGACAGAACAAGCAGCAGCAGCCCAACATCACAGTTTAATGTTGCTATCAGTATGTCACAATGGTGATGTCTGTAGATAAAAACTGAGGTGCATAGAGAGATTTCGAGAGCGAGGCAGTGAGGGTGGGGGCAATCTTGCAATCTCTAGCAATGCAAATACTAGAGGTGTTTCACAGAACAAAACTATTCAAGGATGGAACTGAATTTTGCCCACCGCTGAAGCAGAACACAGTTTCCATAAAAAAGCCTGTATGCTTGAAGTCACTTCGGCATTGCCCTAAGTGTTAATGGGGATAAAAAGCAAAAACGGGAAAAGGCTCTTTTATCCTCCAGCCAAATCTTGAGTGCTGCCATTGGCACTCAATATGCTGCATATGTATCTGAGGAATGGAGCGTTCGTCAATCAGTAGATTCACAAATCGGCAGTATGCTGTGCTGCACGTACCATCGACATCTAACACTATCTGTACTAGAAGAGAGATGCAATCTGTACTAGAAGAGAGATGCACTAGATGAATGCTGAACCTCAATAAATATAATACTACTACACTTTTTAGAACATAATTGCGTGCTTTATTGATATACACAGTAAAGCAGTATATAATACAATAGTAAGGCATATATTTGGTGAAATTTGATATGTTGTGAAAAATGCAGTAGAACAGAAGTTTATAAAAATAATTAGTAAATGTTACAGTGTTGGTGTTAAAACACAATATATTATGATATCCAAGTAATAAACCAGTACTAACAATGAAATAACATGCCATACGGTATTTATGTATTCAGTTACACTGATTATGTTTTACAGTTTAATACTTTGTCGTTATAAGGAATATGAAATAATTCCCAAATTATGCTTAAAAAAGCAGCGATAAAGCTTTCAACTTTTTAAATATTTTTGACAGACTCACTCCAAAACTAAGATCTAGAAAGTAAAACAAACAAAACAAAACCCTGATGAAAACAATCGTGCACTCCATTTTCCTCCAATTTTCTGAAGAGAAGGTTTAACATAAAAGGAAAAAAAAAGGAGAAACCCATCCCTTTCTCAAATCTCAATTTAAACCAAGACCATGAGAAATAGACAGGGTTCCTACGGTAATAAAGTGTTGAAAAAGCTCTTCATTGTGAAAGCAGACATTTGGGGGGATTGTACTTATTTTCTGTATATTATCATTATTATTATTTTTAAATGATGAGACCTGTTCACACAATGGACAAGTGGTGATGATGTAACATTATCTGTATGTAATTGTCAGGAACACCACAAAACCAAAGTGAGGTAGAAATAGCATGACTAGCCACGTTCAATGTTAACTAGCATTCAAAATAAAATCTTTCCCAAGTTTAATTACACTTCATACAAGAAGAGGTAACAGATTTTTACTCTTGCAATATAAAGTCAGATGGTGTGTTTCTATGTATTCTAAGATAAAATTAAAAGCTGGTAAAGAAAATGAAGTGGTAAAGCTTTTGCTGACAGCACCTCATACATGCCTAAGCCTACCTCTCATGAGCTGCAGTTAAACTGGCTAGTCCGTTTTTCCATCAGTTTCTCTCTTTCTCACTTTACTGTTAATTGTGCGGTATCACTTGTAGAGAGAAATGGGGAGGGACAAAGTATCAGTATATTGTTTTGATGATAAATACCTCATGGAGCAGTGTGGCTACCTTCACCTGATCACCATACACACCATACACATACATATAAGAACAGCAGTAATTCTTCCACAGCCTTTCCCGAAGGTCGCTTGCCATGTTGCAGCTCCTTGGGACCAGCTGCTGTAGCAGGCTGAGACATGTCGCGTGGAAATCTGTTTGTATTATCCAGAGAATCAAGTAGCTTTATGTTCATGAACAACACAGGTAGCTACACAAGCTAAGATGCCCTGTGAGTAATCTCCTTGTGCTTCACGTCAGAAGTTGATCCCACGTGGGGAGTAAGTAAGGAACCGCTCCCGTTCTTCTCTCAGGTACAGCAAAGGTGTCGCTGAGGGTGGCAGTGGGTGGGGAGAGCTGGGGCAAACTTCTGCTGAAGCACTGGCTGCTGGCCGCTGCCAGAGGCAAGGGACCGGACAGTAAGGTCCAAAGGTTTAATCTGGTAAGGCAATTTCTACGTTTCAATACTAATAACTTTCAGGAATTTAGTCAGCAGAGGAAACAGCTGGCGCATAGGATAGTCATTAAATGCTTCCCTTTCCCTTTCTTCCCTCTTTTTTTTTAATTAGTTTTTTGCAGGCTGTCATGTAATGTGCTCTTTCACTTAATTATTGCAAACTAGCTCTGTGATTGATGTAATTCTCAATTTTATTGGAAAGAGGTGAAATAACTACCTTCATTGGAAGTCCAGGAGATTTTTTTTAAGCCAGCCCTAGTCAGACAAAAGCAACGAGAAATATAAGTAAGCTGGCCGTTTTGGTGCTGCTGCAGGAAATACTATTTTTTCTTTTTGATAGGCAAGGAAAAGAACACAGAACATGAATCTCTCTCTGATGCAGTTATAGAGCTGAAATGATGCTAAACAAATGCACTGCCTCAGTATTTTTTTTTGTTTTTAAGGGGGTTTCTATAAACAATTATTTTTATAAAGCACACTTTAGTTTACAATCTTTCTTTATAACTGTTATAAATTTTTTAAACAACCCGAAATGCGTTCCATATAAAGAAATGGCAAGTTATTTAGCTATCAAGATTTTACATGTAGGTTTCTTATAATTTTTGTACAATTGCATAGACGTGTAAAACCTGCCATTGTTAACAAAACAGTAACAGACTTAGGAAACTACTGAAATCTACAGTATAGTACCACTACCCTTCACAAAAATATAGATTTGTTTTCTTGTAAACTCTTACAGTCTAATCCTCTTTGTAGTATGAATATTATAAAAACCATGCGGGACGCCTGAAGTTGTAAAACACATCTTGCTATTCTAACACCTTGTCATCAGTCATCACTGTAACTAAGGTTTCCATTGCTCTTCCCAAGTCATCTGCCATGTGGAAAAGGCTCCCTACATTGTTGCCTGAAAAACAAAGTCGAAGAAGAGGACATGAAATGAAAAAGACAAGGCAGCATGTTGTTAGGAACGTTTTACAGAAAAGGCTAAGTACATACATATAACTGTTCATGTTAAGCTCTCCACATATCCCTAGTTGAGTACACTACAGAGTACCGTTTTCAGAAGACTCCTGGATGAGTATAATGTCTTAATGAACAAAAGTTGCCAATTTTGGATAAAACTAACCCTAATACCAGTTTGAAGGGTTAATGTAAACTATACTGACATACAGTCATGACTATAAACAATTATTTTTATACAGCACACTTTAGTGTACAATCTTTCTTTATAACTGTTATAAACTTTTAAAAGAACCCAAAAAGCCTTACATGTAAAGAAATGGCAAGTTATTTAGCTATCAAGATCTTACATGTAGTTTTCTTACAATTTTTGTACAACTGCATAGATGTATAAAACCTGCCATTGTTAACAAAACAGTGACAGACTTAGGAAACTACTGAAATGTTCAAAAACCCCACGGCGATCAAGCTGTATTATTATGAATGTTCACCACAAGCAACTCTTAAATCCACTGATATCACAGAAAGGTTTCCAACTGGTGCTACAAATGTTTGACCATTCAATATTCTATCAAGGAAAAAAAAATAGAAACAAACAGATCAGCAGTAATCAACTAAATCATTAAAAAGCAAAGAGCTCCCAACTGGGTATCCGCATGGATATCTAAATTATGACCAAACTAAATGGTTACAAAATTCAGTTCGTTCTATCTTTTTAATAAAATCCATTGCCTTTCAGACAGCAGTTTAGTAAAAACAAAGGTCCCACAATTATCAAGTTTAACTATCATCCTGTTGTTTACTTGTGCATTTCTCCTCACAAGTAACTACTGTAAAGTCCTAAGACAATGTAACTGTAACACGTAAACGTCCTACACAAAAGCATTAAATATAGGCAGACTAGAATGCTGGAGACAAAATCAGTAAGTTCTTCTCACCGTGGCGTTAGCACAGCTGGAAAACCATAAAACATGGACATCCAAACTAAGGACTGAGCATTCAACATTTCTTTCCAGGACAAGGAGGAATAACCAGATAGAAGGTTTTAAAAAAAGCAGAAGGAAATTATATTCCACACAGTGCATAATTACATTTCGGTACTCATTGCCACAGGCTGATGTTAAAGCCAAACATATAAGTGAGCTAAAAAAAAGAAGTCAGAAAAAAATCACAGAAGAAATGTCTCACAGGAGTTATTTAAATGAAAGACGCGCATCTGACCTCCAACTCAAGAAGTCCTGAAGCTGCCAGGTGCCAGAACTGGAAGGGTGCAACTGGGGAAGTATTACTGTAAGTTGCCCGAGGGGGCTGATTTACTCTGTGGGAGTACTTGTGATAGAGTATTTGTTTGGAGTAGTAGTCTAGTGCAACAGTCTAGACCCTGAGTCCTTGCCATGATCCATGAGGAAGGAGTACCCGAACGAAGACAGGATATGAGCAAGGTATCCAGGATTCAGATTTCATGCAGTCCCTACCTGCGAAGTGCATGAGCCTGATTGTTAACGCTGCCCTATCTACAGGGTCATTTTCCCTCCTGACAGAGCTGTTTTTCTAACAACAGGAATGAACCTTTCCTGTGGGGTAAATCAAACACCTAAAAACAAGGTGAAAGAAAAGACCACACTCTTACAAATATTCAAAAATTATGGTAATCATGCATTGTTGACATTTCTACAGTACCAAGGAGCTTGGAGTGATGTTAGTTAATATTCACCATCATTTATGGAATAGAAAAAAAATGACCTGAAAAAATATCCAGAGCCATTTATTTCAGAACTGTTACCACTTTTAACATTCAAATCCTGATTTTTGGAGGCACTTTTCTGAGTATAGTATTCATAACATTTTCAGAACTGTTCCATATCTAAATATTAACAACTTGGTAAGTTGCCCATTTGATTGTCTGCTGTGCTGTAACGTGACACAGTTTGTCACATATCAATACAAAGAAATACTCGGTTCTAGTTTGGTGACTTCTTGGTACTAACACTAATACACATACAAATTGATGCATCAAACAGTGATTTCATATATAAATCATTAATGGATAGCTACCCTACTCATTCTGAACAAAAATTTGTAATTGACTCATTACCATGTATAGTAACTATATACGAAAAATTCCTGACAAGTTTTGTTCAAAATTTAGCTTACTTTAAAGTAAGTGTATGCTACTGCATTTATTTTAGACGCAAGGAATAATACCTCTTGCCTGCACCATGCAGACTGTAATTAAATGCTAGTATAATCTTTCACATGCAATTCTAGTAACACCCCTTAATCTTAATATAACTCTATCATACCGCAGTCCCTCTGGCTGAGATCAGTCCAGCAAACTGCACCATGAAAAGCAAAAATTGACAAAATCATACGAAAGCAGCAACATATTTTAGATGGGAGATGCTTATGTAAACAGAAAAGCAACTGCCACTGGTTTGGTCTACTTATCTGAAACTCTGACATGCTTAGGTGTATTTGCAGCATGTGGTATCAAGGCTTTATTGGAATAACCTTGGTATAACCTGCATAATCTACAGTGTTCTCATAAATATTCTGACCCTGCAAGCTACTTTCAAGCAATCTCTAAGCTTTAAAAGTACTTCTTCTTCTTCCTCACCTGCAGCAATTTACAGGTATGAGACAGGGAGGTGCCAAGATGCTGGGTAAACAGCAATGAGAGGCAATACTGATTGTGGGATCAGAATCTCTCATTCAGCTACCTTGTGATCTGCTATGTCTAGAAACAACGATGGGATGCCCAGACTTTTCAGGGACTCCAAAACCTATTCATTTCCAGCTCAGGAAGACTGATCACCATTCCACAGATTTATATTAACCTGAACCACAAAACCCCATCTTCAGAAAGATTTAGTGCTTCTTAATACTATATTTTTTTCTATCAGTCACAGAGCTATGAAGTTAACAAAGGCAAGCCTATTTTACAAAAGAATCTACGTCTAGAAAGAATAGCTGCAATCCTAAAAAATAAAATTATTTTAAAAAGCTTTTCTTAGAACTTTAGTCTTAGAACTACTAAATTGTCCAGGTAACCAAAGCATGGGCCAAAAAAACCCTACGAATCCAGAGATCCTTAGGCATACTCTTCATGCACAAAAATCACAGGAATGTGTGCTAGTGCTTTTTCCTTCCCCCCTCTTTTTTTTTAAATTGCTGCTGTGTTTTTGAAATAGCTGTGCTTTGAATCTGATCTGCCTCCAGAAAAGCTGCAGAGAGCAGTGTTAGGGTAATTACAAAGTTATGACACCCTCCCCACCCCACCCCCAACACACAAACCATCCATGCTACCTCCCCAGCTTCGGTTATAATCTCCTCTGCAGAAAAGCTGAACAATCACGTGCCTGTCCCCGAGCCATGTGAGTTCACAACTGAGGGCACAATCATAAACCACTGCTGATTTGTGTTTATGTTAACAGCTGGACTGTAAACTGCAACAGCTTGGGGACTGCAGCCTCCAACACAGTCATGAGATGGGCGGATGTGCCAGGACAGTAGGCAATGTAACTGGACTTCAGCCATTCAGCTGGTGAATATGCCGGGTGTTCAACCAGCAGTTTTGGTTTAAGTTAAGCAGCAGAGGTCTGAACAGTGGTGGCTCCGGAGCTGGTCCACATTTGCCTCTGCCAGCTCTGCACCCATGGCTGTCCCTCCATTAGAGGAGCAAGGTGCATTGCTGGGTCCAGCAAGCTCCCATATTGGTTCAGAACTCAGTGGGCCACCACATTACATTGATTTTTCACCACATTACAGCGAAGCCTTCCATCACACAGTATCATTGAGTGTTTCTGTATTTATTTAATGACATCTGCCATGTTTCAGGTTTGTTCTTTTTACTACTTCCCACTGCTTTCCCTCACTTTTTCAGAAGAAATGTGTTTAGAACTGGAACAACATTAGCGTTACTGAGGTCGCCAGCCTGAGTGGAGTCTTGTAACCCACAGTAAAAGACAGAAGTCCTTTTACCTGAGGCTTCCTTTTCACCACACCAGACACAGATTAGAAAAGGAGTCTGACTTAGATTCATAATTCTTCAGCTACTCTCAAATGACCTACACAGAAGAGTAACGTATTTCATGGATTTCCTATGAACTCTTTTCTGACATCTGTCCAGGTACTGGGGAGCTGGCTTCCCCTGCGCTGTGTCTTCCTTAGCTTCTGAGTTCCTTTTCAAAGGCAGTGATGACCTGAACACTCTTTTTTTAATGATACAGGGGAAAAATACCAGTGGTTGAGTGACTGAGGTCAGGATTTTACCTCTCGCACATGGGAATAACCACCAGGGCAATCAAGACTGTACAGTTTGGGAACAACATACACAGGAACTTCCGGACACTATATGTGTAATGAATACATCCTTTTCTTTACCTAAATTTTAGCTCAAATACATTGCCTGTTTCTACATCGCTGTGCTTCTTCTGTTGAATACTTGCTTGTTTGGCCTCTATGAGACTCAAATATAAGGTACTGACATTTTTTAATTAGGAGGCAAATGAGAAAAATAGTGGCTCCAAAGCACTTATAAAATATAGACCATAGCTTTCCACTCATTATTATCAATATTTTTAATATAACTCAGTCAAATAAGTCAGGGATTCAATTTTTTTTTTAAACATTAAAGTCGAAGAAGTTTTCTCCATGCTTGAGGCACTGAGAGGTTGAGAGCTGATACTGTTTAAGAAAAAAACAAGCACACTTTGAAATGCAGCAATAAAGCTCGAAATGAACATGGACTGTTTTAACTTAGTCTTATAAAATGGAAGAAATATTAACGCAGTGTATTTGTTTTGAAAGCAGGGGATATCCAGTTCTGCAGACACTAACTACATCATTTCTGGTCACATACAGAAGGATGTGTTTCATATCTGCTGAATGTGCTTTAGAGGCTATACTGGAATTAAGGCCCTTGGGTGAAGACACAGTAATTGACTATCAATCTCACATTACAACTTGTCACAGAAATAAATGTGGAGTATTTGGACTCTAAAGAGTGGACAGAAAGTAAATTAAGAAACCCCAACACAATGCAGTCTCCATTTCAGCAGCACAGATTTCTAACCCTTCCCCCACAAAAGAAAAACCCTTCCTGTTGGTGGCTCGGATTTTGATACCCTTATTCATATTGAGTAATGCCATGAAATCCATGGGATTACTCATGAAGACAATACCTAATGGGAGTAATGGGATCAAAACCTGGTCTGGTGGGTTTAAAACTGCATGATCTGACTTTGCACAAATGGATTCACATATAAAGCAAAAGCTATTCTATAAATTAGCTCATACACTTCATAAGCATGCAGAGAACTGGGTTTGTATTGAGCTCTGCAAGTTACAAAGCACCCTCTGCAACTGTCAGTGAGCACAAACAGAACTGGAGAACACTAAGTATTTTACTGAAGCAGTAACATTTTGGGGGTTAAGCTGCTGGAACCCGATTAAGAACTTGCACACTTTTTTAACCTTTTTTTTTTTTTAATTGTGTCAAACGCACCCTAAGCAGCAGAATCTTTTTCGTAACAACAGATATAAATATGAACGAGGATCATGAAAATCACCACCCTGCTTTCCTGAATTGGAGAGCAATTCTCAGACCTTTCAGGCCAGTAGTACGATGGACTGAATACGAAAACAATTCCACAGAATTTCTGAACTGGTGTAATCTCTTTGATGACATATCAAGCACTCTTTTTGATGGGTATGAAAGGACCTGACACTTGAGGATCTTATTCCTCAGAACAGCTGAATCTGCGCAAGCTCCTACAGCAGATGCAAAGGCTTGCATTTCAGGGCAACATACCAGAAGAAATCTCATCTTATACAGTATAGCAGATCAGTGATTAGGGATTCGCAATAGTGCAGCTAAAAACCCCTTTGTGTGTTTTCACGAGCCCCCCTCTCTGCTCCAACCCGATGTACATTTGTGAGCCGGCTACCCTTCAGTTCCTGCTTCATCCACACTAAACATCATCTGTGCGGGAAAGGTCATTTCACAGCTAGCTGCAATTGCACTCAGGCAGTCTCTGAATATTTTATCTTTAATAATAATTTTCTCTAGCAAATCATCTTTCAAACATTATATTGGGCTGCAGAGTGAAGAGCAGCTTCACAGAGGAAAAATAAAGGCTCTCTGGAAATACTTTAAAAGGTGCTGTGACAGCACTGCACAAAACATTTTCCTCCATTAATAAGCAGCAAAGTACACACTCTAGAATCTATTTTACCATCAAACTGATCATGTCTAAAGCACAGAGCGAACACCATAGCCATTTACATTGCTATTCATATAACACTGTGGAGTCGGTGATTGTTAGTAGCATTCTTCATTGTGCCAATAGTATATCAGTAAATTAAAACACCTGAATCTCTTATACCTCTCAACTCTCACTGTTCTAAAGCAAAAGAAAAAAATATTAACCTTAACTACTGGAGATCATGGTTAGTACATTGGTAAAACATCGCATGTATATAAGCAGAATGGTGAGGGCCATGGGCCTCTCTGTTTTGTTTACATACAACAACATGAGAACAACAGAAGTCAGCGACAGTAAGACATTTGTTGACCACATATGGCACACAAAGGCTTAGTTTCAATCTGTTATTTTATCCTTCCCATTCCTGAGTTTCCATCTTTGGGAGGATACAAGAAAAGGCACATCCTTGAGATTACACTGTCTCTGTTGAAAGTTGAGAGGTACAGTATTGTTAGAGCACACATGTGAAATGCACTCAGCAAAACCAAACAGAACTAAAAACAAAAATAAAACAACCCCCACCCTTCAGCAAAACCAAGCAAACTCATGTTGCCGTCACACACATGCTGGGCGCAGAAAGCAAGATGTGACACGCAGAAGCCACGGCAGTGAGCCTGCATCTCACTAACCTCTCTTACTGGCTTTCCAGGGGCGTTTCTTCCTTTAGAAACAGAGAGAGGAAGTGGTAAAAATATCAGAAAAGAAACAAAATCACCACATATGAATATATATTTCATGCTGTAACAGACACTCACATTTCCAGTTAGGAATTTAATATAAAATAAACATATTTCTGCTTTAAACAAAGACTGAAAGCACACTGAAATCCTCTGATGACTCTGACCTGATTTCCTGAAGAATAGTTCTGCAAACTGCTGCTTGGTTTCAGCCTAACAAATACATTTCGGGAAACTACTAATACCAACTTATAACCCTTTCAGTTGAGGATAAGGGTGGCAAACAAAAACCTGAATTCATGTTCTGAGCATGCAGATTTTGTCAATTTGAGTAATTCTACTAATCAACATTACTGATAAAATCATGTTTCTCTGACTTCAAAATTAATTCATCTGAACACTTTAGAGTTTATTATGGCCTACATGCATATATACATGTATATATTAATACATACATATATGTATATACACACACACCCCCATGCATATTTTGCACTAAAGCTATTAAACTGGAATATTAACACAATGAAATCTTGTCCTCATATTCAAGATAAATAAATCACTGAAGATCTTCCCAAGAAGTTGATCTGCAAGCATTGTAAAGCTTGGGGAGGATGGACAAAGAGAGGAAGAGAATCAAGTAAAGGGGAAAAAAGGGAAAGTTTCTCACCACTTTTAAGATGTACTGACAAAACTGAGGAGTTAGTAATGGCTTTAAGGTGAAATGATGTTCCTTACAAGCCTTCACAGGAGTCATACTTTGATTAGACAGATTTTTGCCAAATATTTATTGTAGTTGGTTTTAAAAAAGAAAGTCAGCTGCCAATCAAGAGCAGAAACACCCCCCTTCTTTCCCATCACACAACCAATGTCAATGAAACGTCTGTTGTTGTCTTCAGAAGAAGCATTCTATTCTGTCACTGAACGTTAACCCTAGTACTATCAGATAATTAGGCCCTGAGGTAGATGCTGCTCAATAAAGAGGATGATTTTTGCCCCAGAGTTGTTGCAAACACAGTAACTGTAAGCAATATGTAAGACAATGGAGAGAGAGAAATATAAATGAAAATATGCACAGGTCAGCACAACAGCATCCTAATAGCTGTCAAGGTTTTTTGCAGGCATCATGGCCTGCTGTAGAAGGCAGGGAGGGAAGACTATAAATTACTTTGCACATTTTTTTACAGGGAGCAAAACGAGGGTCAGCAACCGAGACAGTGGAGGTACTGGACTGAAAACATAGTAAAGCAGATAATGGAAAGGGGGGAAGCACAGAGGAAGCGAATAGGTCACAGGTTAGAGCCACTGTTCCAAGTACAAAATAAAGGTAACAGAAAAGACTAGGGCAACCTGTGAAGGGCCTTGGCTGTGAATATTATGATTTGCCAAACTCAGGAAGTTTTAATCCCTTCTTTCCCCGTCCCTCTTCCTATTAGCTTATCTACTACTAGAAGTGATAATAATAGTAGGTTCTAAATCCTGTTCTGTATGTGGGTTTTTATTCTGATTCTAGGAGGAGCTTTGACTGTCTATACTGCACGTGATGGTGTTGCAGAAGTATTAGCATGAGCTTGACTACTCGCTTGACTAAGTAGCTTCACTTTTAAGGACTTCACCATAGCTTTAGTTGGCCCGTATCTTGACAGGCTACATCGTCTCCATGCAGAGTTTTGGGCTTCCGGGCTGCTCTGGCTAGACTGCTTTTATTAATGAAAGGTCTGTTCATATCCACTCAGAGCCTGACTACTTTGGGACTAAGGCTGCTAAAATCTATCAAAGACTCAGGCACAGTCCATTCGGCCCGCCCTGCAGGCCTGCCTTTCTCTCTAAGACTTAAAGATTCCCTACTCAGCCTGCAACTTCCTTTGGTGCTTATCTCAGGAGCTATGCATGCTCAAAAAATGCCTCTCAGGGAAGATGAGAACTTCTTATTGATATAAAACCACATAACAGAAAATCCTTGAAAACGAAAATATAAAAGTAAAATCCATTGCACTCTTTGGCCTTCCGAGGAAGAGCTCCAGGGTTTCAAGGAGTAGGCAGAGTCTACCCAATACCTCCAGAAACTGCAGCATGGTGCATCTGGATGTGTGAGTCCTGGGGCAGGAAGGAAATCTGGTAAAATACAGCTGAGCTTGTCTACAGGAGAGGAGGAATTACCTACATTCAAAATACTAGATCCTTTTGCAAGTCATTGGAGGTCACTACTTGTCTGCACAGGCATCTAAAGTTTCACCTAGGCAGTGCCTAATTTAAATACCTACATGAGACAGACTGTATCCCATTTCAAATGAATGTATTCAAAGCCAGCTGGGATAGCACTACTCCACACAAAATAGCTGTGAAGGAAAAGTCTGTGGTGAGTAACCAGCCCTAGAATTTGTTACAAGCAACAAACAGTAGCACTACTATAGTAATAGCTAATTTCTTTTGGAAGAAGATTAAAAAGGGTTTAGCAAATTTACTTTATTTTCCTCTTTGCATATGAATGAATGGATGTCTCTAAGTTTTAAGGTAAGGAGTATGGCTGGGCATAAAGTGCTGAGGAAGGCGATTATCTGCATCACAGCAGTTTGGAAGCTTTGTATTCTATAAGACACAAAAATACTGATGCACAACTCACGGATGCCTGGATATGTATTAATGTATTATTCCTGCTCAAATCAAGATTCCTCTTTGTAGAATTTTTTTTTTTTTTAAATCTATTACATTATATCACAGGCAAAGGTCCTAATCAATCCTGAAAACACAGGTACCAATGACAACGTCATCCATCTATGCAGTTTCAGGCCAAAGCACAGAGCACAAAGCATACAGCATCTACTGCATTGCTCTCATCATACACAATTCTGTTGTGAGAAAGAGGACAGCGGGGGCGGGGGGGAGATCAACAAACAGTATTGTTTTCTTTAAAAAAAAAAAAAGTTGTTTGAAGTTTTGCAGAATTCATCAATGTGTTCTCAAATTACATCAGGACTGAGTATTATCAGCTGGAAAAGATTTAGTCCTCCCCATCATTATCCCAGCAGAAGTATGTGCAGAGAAGCTCAGTCACTACAGTACTGTTGTGCCAAAGGAGGGTCATAAGGAATCTCGGTCAATCCGGCTGACTGACATAGTATGTAGTAGCACAGCATAAACAGAGGGATACACTCCAGAAGTGGCCAGGCTGGCTCAGTTGGGGGAGGATTTCAAGCATTCCCTACGGAGGATTTCAAGCATTCCCTACAGTGCAGTAATTTGAGAGTATTCTTCCACTGATTCAGTAAATTATGGAAAGAAAAGTTTGAACAGTAAGTTGTTTTGCTGTCCGAATAAAAGAAACTGCAGTATTTTCACTGATGAACGTTATTAGTCCAACTTGTGAAGACTCATGGCAGCACCTGGCAGATGCATGGGTGAGAGGTGTGTGTGGTATTTTTTTTATGTGGATGAGATAAAAACAGAAAGACAACTTTTAAGAGATGGGGCTGTTCTTACTGTCATCTATTTATTGTTGTGGGATGTTGTAATTTAACTACTTAAAGCAACATCTGTATTAAACAGTACCATGTTAAATGTTAATTGGGAGCGCTGACCCCTCCCCTGAGTTTTCCACATGTTGTCATGGCCTCTTAGCTCTTTTAAGCCAATGACCACTTTGTCGCTTCCCCTTCCTCACTATCTCCGAGGAATTTCTTCGCACTGAAAGCACGGGAAGCTTTGTCACAGAGCTCAGTTAGCTCAGGGTCTTCTGTCCCCTAAATTCTCCTTTGAGTTTCATTCATAAAAAGCATTTGTCACAAAACCATAGCCACAAAATAGCCTGATCCACCACGAGATCCACCTGAAGTGGGTGCAACTTTGTTTGCCCCTAGCCCTCCAAATGAGCTGGATTTAGCTTTAAGAATGCTATCCTGCTGCTCCTTGGCAAAGCAAGTCTCACTTTTTGTGAACTAACTCCCTGAAGACTTAATAGTTTGGAAACAAGTAAAGTGTGAAAATATTTTCCTCTGTGGCCCATTATCTAGCAGGGTTAAATAAACGACTGAGGTGGTATTTAATAGTAGATTTCCACTAAACGTCAGACCTCTGGCTTTAACATCTGTTTTGAGTTAGCACAGCAGCTGCTTCTAGCAGCTGCTGCAGCTATGAATTTGCTGAGAGCAGCAAAGTAAAGTGGGGACGGTTGGGAAGCCTTGTAGATTTAAAGAAAAGAAAAAAATCCTTAAGCACAGCAATCATCAGGTATTCAGCAGAATTTCCCTCTACAGAAATTAAACAGCTTTCAGCATCAACAATCAGACGTGCAAGGAACATGGAGGTCCCGTGCTGCTTAGGAAATGCTAAGAACTGCTGAAGGGTTGAAATGAAGAAACAACAAAGAGGTAAAAGTCATACAGGAACACAAGTTACTTCATCTGAGATCTGCTTAGAGAGGCCTATGACATGGTTAGATTAATACAAGCTTCTCTGAGATCAATTCAAAATAAATGTTATCAAGCCCTCATGCCCTTTTAAGTACAACTATATGTAGCAAAGGCTTAGAAAAATTCTTAATCAAAATGAATCTGTCTCCAGGTGAGTGAAGATTAATTACTACTACATTTTATTGCTTTGTTTCAGAAGTCCAAAGTAAGAGTTATTATCTGCCTTAGGAAAGTATTTCACAACCTTACAAAATCTTACTCTCCACATGTTTTTGATGATATTTAGACTAAACATTTCAATTTTAATTTGTAATCCTGTGACGCTTAGTTATACCTCTGTGCACCCGAGCGCAGAAAGTCACTCCTTTTCTCTGTTCATTACTTATTCAGCTCTTTGAACTTTTCTTATAAATCAAAGCCTCCAGAGTTGAGTTTGCTCTTGTTACATTGTTCTACAATCCTCCAACTTGTTGTTATCTTGATGGTAATGAGATATCCACAATTATATTCCTGATTCAGAAGGGATATCACTCCCTACTCTGTGATATGCTTGGGTTGGACATTTAGCTTAAAACTATGCCTATTTTTACAGGACAAAAGGCAAAACCATGCTTAACAGATTGCCAGTACCTTCCCAAGCCTTTTACTACATTCCCAGATTTCTTCAGTTGATGCCGTATGTACGTTTCAGGTTATTTGTATGGATGCTTTCCTTTACCTGGATCTCATTTTGTTATTGTTTTCTAATTTTCAATCTAGGTTGGTTTCTACGCACCCTATGTCCTTTGCAGCTTCTCCCAAACTGCATGGTCTATGAAAATCTAAGCAGACTTCTACACTAATGCTGTAGAAGGAGAAGTAAACAAAGCTATTTCTAATACTAGACAATGCTGAGCATCTAATCTATCTTCCTTTTAGTTTTAATTCTCAAAGACAGTAAGCATTACATGTGGTACCACCTAGCACAAGGAGTTTTGATGCATCTTTCAAATAATATTTCATGAGCTCCTGTATCAAAATACACTTGTAAATGCCAAACTGGGATGACTCTGTTTCTTGCCTCTGGCAGTTTTGTAATTCTACTTCATAAGAAATAATGCAGGCAAAATTATTCTTTACAGATCTGTGCTTATTGCTTTTTTGGGCTCATTGTTCTGTTTCCTCAACATGTACTAATGGCTTGAGATTTGATGTAACCTGTAATGGAAAGAAATAAAATATTACTTCCACCACTCCTGAATCCTCCTGAAGTAGCTCTCTTTTCAGACTGCTTTAACTCTTCTGCAATTACACTTTAATCTTTTATTATAGACTGGAAATTTGAGATATAGATTTGCACATCTTAAAAGCAAAACAGTTCCTGCTTCAGTGTTTTGTTGCAATCAGTCAACCTTGCTTCCTTTTCTCCTTTCTGCAGTTTTATAAACCATAAGCAGAAACCGTGATGCATACGGAATCTGACTGAGCAGAGCAATGAAAGGTCTAAGTGATGCTGTGCCAAATTTTCTGTGGATGTAAGCTCCGTTTATGCAATGCCAGTTGAATATCGTTTAATCATTAAAATGGGAGTAGAAGAAAACTCCAATAACTGAAATTTGCATAAAATCTCAGTAAAATGGACGTCAGGAGCCTTCTGTATTATCCAGTGACTGAAAAGCCATTTGAATTGGCTGTATGACAAATTAGTTTTTTCCAGAGAAGGCCTGACCCTTCCTATTCTTCAGTCAAAAGCAATTAGACAAACTTAGCATTCATGCAAATGCATAAGATTGTATCATGAAGAACAGAGAAACCTAAGGAAATGAGGCCCTAATCTCTTCAACTAAAAACATAAGATAAACTTCACAAAAGAGTGAATGACTTTTTCTCTGAGATGGACTAATCTTATATTGTGTAGCCCAAGAGAATGGAAGGGACAGATTTCTGCCCAGCCCAATAGTGATTTAGCCGGGCCAAAAAAAAAAAATTTGTACGAAGCCTGATTCTGTCTAACCGTCTATACCTGCTCCTGACTGTTGCATCAGAAGCTCTTCTAACTCTAAGTATAGCCTGCTTTGCTGGAGATGACAGATGATGAAGAACGTCCTGTATGTAAAACAGTGCCTCCTCTTTGCTTGCAGCTCCACATGAAGCTAAAGAATATTTTTGTCCTCTATGGCTGCTAGTCAGGCAGCAACATAGGAACAAACAGCAGCTGTGTTTCAGAAAACTTGAAACTGATGACGTCTAATTTCATGGACAGAGAAGTTTACAGAATCAACAGAGGCCAAGAACAGCGGAGGAGTTTTTCTGCTGTATAGACCAATGACAGAAAAATAAAGGTATCATATTTTATGCCTAACTGTGGCAATAAGTTAGGCATAGTTTTGCCTAACTGTGGCAATAAGAGATTGTCCCAGCCAATACTTTTCCACTTTCATTTTCATTATTTCTTCATGCGGAAAGTATCTCTTGCAATCTTTTTTAATGATGTTTGTGATCACATAATACACTTAAACATAGTTACTGAATAGAGGAACAAAATAAAGGAGTATATTCATTCTACACACGTAGATTATTTGGCACCACTGGAACGCAAATACAAATAGTTATAACAACTTTCTGAATTAATAGATTAACTAATGTTAAAAATCAAATCTTTTTTGCGCTAGACACTATATGTGCTGTCAATTTTATTCACAAAGCATTGCATTTTTCATTAATAAAATAAAAAAAACTTTTTTATTCTTAGTTAGCAGGGTGTAGGATCTAAGAGACTGATCACTACCTATTTATACACGGAAATTAACCATTGTATTACAGATAAATCATTAATTAACTGTTGTTTCTTAAATTGCTCCTATTGTACTTTAAATCAAGCTTAAAAAAAAAAAAAGTTTTGTCAATGTCCTTCGCTATGATTACAAATTAGATATCATGGAGAAGAGTGAGCATTTTAACACACGGGTATCTGCAACTAGACTCATATGATTACCCAAGATCTCCTAAATATAATATATTTATATGAAGGACGATCACTGATAAGAAAGTACTATCTGTTGGAACCTTGTGTACACAGCAACTTTAAAAATAAGCCCACTTTTTTATACATTTCAGTATTTCAAAAATATTTTCTCTGTTGTCTCAGAGGATTAATTCCTAGGTAAAATGAGGCCTGCACACATGATGTTTTCTCATATAACGTTGAGCAGAACAGTATTTTATATTAGATTTTTTTTGAATAGAATTTTTCTATACTGTTCTATCTTTTCCTCTATAGCAGTTATACGGCTTTCCTATCACGTACCCACTACTGCCTTCTCCAATGTTTACACATGAAGCTTGGTGAGAACTGAACTTGCCTTTTAAGTCAAAGGATGGAGAACAACTTCATGTCATTGAAAGTCTAGCATCATAGTTGAAGACACTTCTCTAGTAAAGAAGATCCTTTGGATGACATGTGCCACCCGAAGAAGGCCTGCAGAACTCTACTGCATATTCTGACACCCACTTAGTAGGGTGTCAACAGAATCTGGGACTTTCTTCTGCACAGAGGTTTATGCCTGAGCCTTCTTTCACTGCTACAGGTAGCATTCCAAACATCCTATCTCCTGTTAGGAATTTAAGCAATTTTTTTTGGTAGCAGAGCTTTTTCTCTGGGCTCGGAAAATACCTACCTTAAATGGAAAAAAAAAAAAAAGGCTGAAAAAACAAACTCCAACAGCACAAGTGCCTATCTTTAGCAAACAACAGGCAGGAACTTTAAAAAAATCGAAACACAAAGAAATGCTGTGGCTGTACACCCAAGTGCATGTTTGCACTGCACAAACAAGCAGTCCACTTGTTTTCCCTCAATCACTCTGAACCTAAATGCTAAAAGTTTGGAGAGTTTTCACTCAGAACTTCAATATTATCCAGAATTGCATTCTATTTGGAGAAAGGCAAGGAAATTAGAAAGATGTACTGGGACATGTATTAAAACTAAATCAGCAAGTAGACAGACTTCAAAGGAGAGTGGGTGTGAGAAAAGGAATACAGAGAAAGGGAAGAAAAGAAAAAGTGAAGGAAAAAAGTCTCAAGAGAGGACACTCCTTCATCCATACATGTGGCAACCTCTACCTGTGGAGGTAGCTTAAGGTAAACGAGGTGAAGCTTATTGCTGCACTCTAAGTAAGACAGCTTTTCTATGGCTGCTGCTAAAATGAAAATAAAGAGCAACAATAAAACAAAACCAAAAAAACAGGTCCCTGAAAACATGAGGTAAAAAAGCATCTTTCTCTCCTGCTCTCCCCAAAATATCCAGGACCAATTTATGTATTCAAAAAAGCGTCCCTCTCATCTGCTGGCATACGCTCCTGGGCACCAGTACATACCTCTGGTACTTGGGAAGGAGTTGTTAAGCTGCTCCATCACTTCCTCCAAACCTGTGCTTGTGTCCTGGGGAGGGCTGAGCAGATCATCCTCACCTGGAAAGCAAACCCCAAACACTGCATTTAAGCCACCATAAAACCATTTGTTAACATCTTACTCTTGCACATGTCCTTCATGAAGCTAAGGCTGTTCACTTAACATACGTTTTTTGATTAATATACAACCAAAATTATAAAGGTGAATTTTACTTCCTGTAATGTTTCTCGCTCTTTTGTTTTTCTTTAAGAAGCTGAATAAAATTAAGCAATGAATTTTAAGCAATTAAAACTGATTTTAATTCATTAAGAAGAATTTAAGAAATAACCTACTCTGGTAAAACAAGTGGGGTAAAATGTCTGCTTAGGAGCACTTAGTACATACAAATGACAGTCTCGTTTCAGCTTCTCTTATTCCATTAACGGTACAAGAGCTTGCTGTTGTGAGTGCTGCTACCGAGTAGCTTTCTAATAGTGCTGGATTCATGTTAGCGCTGCTTGGCCTAGCTGTGTAAATCACTAGAAACCAAGATTCTCATCTGCATCAGTATTAATATTTCTGACAGTTTAATTGCACCAGATTGGTGCTCCAAGAACATTCAATTGTACTGTAAAAGGGTTTAGCAGCAGTTTAATAAAGCGAAATACATTTCTCCCACTGAATAATTTCTATAACCTGATTATAGGGCAGTAGCTTAATGGGAAATTCAATATATTTTATTTTTACTTTTTTTTTGGCATGGTTTCAGATAACCAAAATCCATCTGCTGATTTTACTGCAGACCCTAGCTTCTAATGGCAATAAAGCATCTGAAAAGGGAATACATCTAAAGGATACTTTGAGTGAGATTCTCCTTTTTCACTAGATTTATTTTATCCCTATTGAAACACTAAAGCAGTTTTGCCTGCTCTAATGACCACAGAGAAACACATCATTTTTTTGAAAGTGACTAATGACCTTATACTCAATTTGAATAATAAATTACCTAATTTTCTGTTACCATTAACATTCTTTAAACATTTCTGGCTCGCCATGCTAGTGGAATCTCTACTAAAAGAGATGCTAAAGGAACGCTTCAGGACGGCGTTTATTCCCTGTTATCAGGCTTAGCATCTTCCTCACCTTAGGGCCAAGAGTTATTTTACCTACTCCAGTAAAAGAAATGGGGTAAAGTGTCTGCAAGGAGTAGTTAATTCGTATAAATGACGGTCCTTGTATCAGCTTTCTTTACTATATTAACGGTAAAAGAAAGAGCTGTTGTGAATGCTACTGTTTGATCAGCTTTCTAATGGTGCTAGGTTTACAAACTACAAAAAAACAGTTCACACCATGGGCTATTTTGACATCTAGTGCTGCACCAACAGAGGTGCTTTAACAAAACAAATGTCCTTCTTCCAGAGTCAGATGGATGTCGAAGTAAAAATTCAGAGCAAGACCTCGCTGCTTCCACCCAGGTTGTGTACCAAATCAGCATGCCTACAGAAAACAGGACCCGTCTCTACAGATGAAAAGAACAGGTCAATGATTCTGCTGGCCTGGCCAGCAAGAACTCCCTTGGGCAAACTGAAGATGGTATTGATTTCCAAATGTCCCGGTAAGCACAGACGCAAACTGAACTGTGTAGAACTGTACCTTTATTTAAAATATGTTATTTTTATTCTTTCTCATTTGAGGATTTTTCTGAGCGCTTTCTTGTAAATAACATAATAAAAGAAGACGTCAGACAAGCAACCCAACAAAATAAAAGATTCCTTTAGACCTCAATTACTGGTCTTAACCCAAGAAAATCTTCCCCATTCATGTTTCTATAAAAGGCTTGGAGGACCAGGTGGATCTCAAATGCTCCTGGGGTACCTGAATGAATTTCAAGACCAGCAACAACTTCTTGGTTCATCTGCCTCACAGAACCTACACAACTCGGGGAGAAAGGTCAAAGATTCGGCCTTTGCATAGGACAGGACAGGGACAGGAAAAAGGAGCTTTCAACCTACCTGCATGTCTCTGGTTATGGAGGCATAATCTCTGCCTGCAGATTACACTCTGAGTGTAATCTCAGCAAAGGTTTAGTGAGATTACTAAAGGTTTAACACCACCACTAGTGGAAAGCATATTACAGTAATCTGTCCGTGAAACAGCAGGGAGACAGAGAAGTGTAGTGGGCCTACAGTCACATAAAAAAAAAGGAGGTCTCTTTTCAAAAGGCAGAGAATAGAAAAGCTACCACTACGTTATCTCATTGCCTAGAAGCATCTACAGAACCTTGGTATTTTCTTGAAAAATTATTACTCCTTTATTACTGGGAACATACTTCTTGTAGGAAAGCATTATTTATGATACTGTTCTGGTTATGGAGCGATTCAAAATTCTAGAGTATTTTTAGTTGCACTTCAAGAAAAACTCTCAGATTAGCAAACAAATATTCTCTGGTGTGAGAGGAGACTTAACAAACCATGCTAGCTGTGGTTTTTTTTAGCACAGTTAGTAATTCGTTTTATAAGTTCTGTTCTATACTGTCAACACTGCTGCACTACTGAGTCTCAACGTGATCATATTGATAACAATGAAACATCTCACCATCCTTCCAAATATTGTCTCAGAAAATCAAATAGGATAAAAAATCATGTTTAAACTTTATTTTAAATACGAAAGTTTTAGCAGGCTACATAAGTGTGTTAATTAGTTAATTCCAGTCTCATAAATTAAATGAGAGTATTTGTTTAGCAGGGCAAATGAAAAGAGGTACATTATTGTATTTCTGGCCTCTCAAAGGACAAAACATGAAACCACACATCTTTTAATAAGATGGTTGGGAACCACTGTCTTCCTATGCTTCTTGCATATTTTTAAGCAGTATATGAATATATATGAAGAAAGTAATTATATTTCTTCAGAGAGCTGATGCAAATTATCCCACTCAGACATATTGTCTAGTTTGTATATGCTATACATAACAACGTACTTACTTACTAGTAATATGATTCCAGAAAGATCCAAATGAAATTGCTATTACCTGTGATCGTACGGTCCCTCTCACCGCAAATATTTTAACTTAAGCATTCATTTCACGCTTTTTTGTAGTAGGATCTACAGAATCCATCTTGTTCTTTACCAACATAGATTGACGTTACTCTGTCCAAACCCATGACGGAAGAAAGTGGTCCTGAATAAGCTGCTTCTCCCACTACCATGGCACTTCAGACTGACAGGAATACCCCTTCCCATTTCATTTCTTGCTGTGATAGACTATTTCACTAAATATAATGAAAAGCTTGCAATTAAGCCTCCTCCTTTCTCAAAAAAATCTCTAAAATAGACTCAATAAATTTTTGTGTGAGAAGCTGAGTATTATCATCAGATGTCAAACATTTTCTTATTGAAGTAATTCAATTACATTAGCTTAAAGATGCAGCAATGGATTTAACAGTAAATCTTTACTACTTAGTACTAAATGCTTACTAATTAAATAACAGATAGGAAATTAGGAAACTGCTACAGAGCAGCTCTAAAAGCACCAAATAACAATTCTAACCTCTATCTACAGAATATTATTACTTAACCTTACTCCACAACTCACATGACATTTATTATCACAACTGATGTGATATTTAGAAAAACAACCAGAGGAGCATTGCCTATGAGTGATGGCTCAATGCTATTTACTTGAGCAATGACAAATTAAAAATAAGATCACATCAGTTAATACAAGAATGATTAATCCTACATTTACTCTCTTAGCCATAATTAATACTCTGTACATTTATATCAGTCATGTTATGCTTCTTAACTGTAAGACAATCTGAATGAAATAGTTAATTTTTCGTGTTATCTGTTTTCAGAATTCAAGTCCTGGCTCAGCTTTGCATCTAATATCAAAATATCCATGCTACTGCATGCATCATGATCAAACACAATAGCCTGCACGATAAGGAAGATGCAAATCGTAAACAGGCAGATAATATCAAAGACCATTGCGAATGCCTACTTCATTTGAATCTACATTGAATGTAGGCTCATTTGAATTAAAGAAGAGAGCAGAATATTTTCTATCTTCACGAAATTTTTGTTGAGAAATGGGAGGGTAACTATTTTTGGTGAGTCTAGACTTTGTTGTCTTACCCATGGTTTCCGACGTCTGGCTGCCAACTACACGAAGAAGCATTGGCTGACTGCTATCTGACCTCTGCAAAGAGGTAGAAGGAGAGGACAGTGTTGTACCATTTACCTTGGCATCTGCCTGTGGCTAAAAATTGAAGAGAAAAAGAAGCGATTATTAAAACCAGTTCAGTACAGCTGCACAAATTTTTTATCTCTGAATTTTGCATTTATCCCATAAAAACACAATTTTGTTTGTTTCAGAGTAAAAATATCCAGGCAAACAATCAATCGAAATTCTCAATTAAAAAAAAGGGAAGAATACTAAACAACCATATTGCAGTTAGATTTCACCTGATCACTTTCAGCCTGCAGAACAATCTCTCTCCGACCAGTCTTTACCGATATGATTTCCTAGTATGTTATAGTTGTTGGCAATGCTTCATACCCTGTTTGGAAAATAAGCTCTATAGAGAACTAAAAGCCAGGCCTGAGGATTCACCTGTTCCAGCAGCTGCCTTAGCCTGTGCAGCTGTGACTCCAGCTGCTTGTTGTGATCCTCCAGAATCTGCATCCTAGCCTCCAGGCGGCCCTTGTGCTGGCGAAGCAGCTTGGCTTCTGCAATGAGTTCAGCATCCCGGGGACTTTGTGGAGAGACTGGCATCATCTCAGGGGGGGACGGCAGTGGAGACAAACCTTTGTGATCATGCTGTTGCTTCAGTCGGTCATATTCTGCTTGCAAGTTTCTGTTGAATAGTGACAAGAAGGTAAAAGCTTTATATATATATATATTTATATATATATATATGTATATATGTATATGTTCTCATTTTTAGAAGTCAGATTGCCTGGCATGAAAACACCCTAGTAATACTTAGTGCTAACAGAGTACTTTGTATGATCAAAGCACTTTACAAACACTAAATAAAGCTTACACCACCTGGCCTACCTACCTATTTTACAGATGGGAAAATGAAGACACAAAGAAGGCCACATAACAATTTAGAACAAAACACAGAATTCAAGAGTTCATTTGCCACTCTGCTGTCATTACTCAGGTCACATCACTCTGCTTCCTTTATATCTGCAATTCTATTTCCAGTCTAGCTCTAAAATTACCAGCCTGAGATAAGGAAAAGATGATCAATGAGCTAATATGTTAAAACTGCACTTGTAATTTTTGGGCTAACTAACTTTTGGGCTATAACTTCCACCTTTGTACAGCACTATCTAGAGTGATAGTCTACTGTAACTTTATGACTTTTTAAAACTTGTTCTTTTATTCATTTCCTCCAGTAAAACATCTATGTGATTAATATAACCTATAAGGACCACATGAAAAAAAAATCTACCAAGTAGTAAGAATACTGAGGTAAAAAACTGAAACCTCGTTAGAGATAGCAGCCTGACAATGTAAAAATAGACTCTTGTAGCAGAAAACGTTGTACACAAGGGAGGCATAACAAACTGCACTGGGATTTTGCTACTGCTTTCCAGCGGGGAAAACTGGTTCCACAGACGACAGCCTGAAACTGCTTACTCAGATAGTGACCCAGATTTCTTTTTTTCAAACAACTTCTTATTAGAGGTTGGTAGAACGGGCATTTTTTGCTAGTTTTGCCTGCAAACCACAATTCACACGGATATTTTGGTCTGGAGACTCACAGCACCTCAGAAACATTCCAATTAAGCTGTGAAACACTTCTAAAGATACGTAACTGTCACCAGAACTACAATGAAAAGGTTATGCATCATTTCACACGGATAAGAAAGCAATACTAAGGAAAAAGACAGGCTATTACCCCTAAGGGATACCTGCCCTATGTGATCCCTCCCTCTGCAGCAAATGTAAAAGGTAAAAGAAACAAAAAGGGGCTGATCCTTCTTAGCTTCAGGTTCTTCCATAATTCTGAGCTTCTCTAAAACTCATAGAAAGAGGAGACAACAGAGAGAATAAACGTGGAGATTGCTCGAGAGCAACTGTTATACGTAATCTATATTCTTTCATTTTTTGACACTCTATATTTAAGGGATTAGCTAAAAATACAACTCTAAACATGAGGGCTGACAAGCTCTCAAAGAATAAAAACTACAGAGCTGCCAAATGATAAACATCTTTGGATGACAAATCAAGAAGGTGCTATAAATATCACAGGTATTTTCTTCTACATCAGACAGCTTTTTCAAAGGATGATTTTGCTTTAAGTAGATAAAGAGTTTCTAGTCTATGAAAATTATCTGAAAGAAAGAAAAAAGGGTTATACTGAATGTTGCTTTCCAAATGACTTAATGTCTTCTGATACTTCTAGGTGAATGAACAGGTGAATACTTCTAAATATAAAAAAGATTAGAAATAGGAATGAGAATGTCAACAGTATCACACATGATCTTATGGTAGACTACATATAGGATTGATTAAGCCAAGCGTTTGTCACTAAGTCTGTAGGCAGTGATTATCACTACACTGTAAGGAATTTCCCAGATGTATGACACAGGCAATATTTTACAAATAGCAGACTCGAAGTTTGAAGGTCTCAAAGTGTTGGAAAGCAAAATTCCACTTTCAAAGCAAAAGATTAAGGGAAACTAAGTAAATGTACCTGGTCATAGTTACAACATAATCAGTTACTATGTTATAAAGAAATATATAATTGCTGACTCAACTATCAAGATACATAGAGAAGTCCTTCCAGTAACTAGGGTACTGAAAATCGAGTGAGGACCAGAGAGTAATGCAGATATAAATGCCTTCATGTCTAATATAAAATAGTTTAGAAGAAGATGGTGTTCTTGCTTTATAATTAGAAATAAAATACCTGTGGCTAATTTGATTCATTTCACTGGCCAAACTCCACCTTTATTTGAAGAGATGGTGTTAATCCAGTCCCATCTTTTAAGTAGCAGTTTCCAAGTATTATTCTCAGCTGAGAACCCTGACTTTACCATCAGGTTGCTTTCTCTTACGTTCTGTCATTCTGTCTGCCATCTGCCTGGCACTACAGGGGAAGAGATTAAAAGCCAAAGGAGATGTAGCTCTAGCGGGTACAAAGAGATCCCTAAGAAAAAAAGGCAGCAAAGTTGGAAGAGTAGCTGCTAGCTTTTTTTCTCTCTTTCTCTAATTCTAATTTAAAATTAATTGTCGTTTTCTGGAAATTGAGAGGGTTTCAAACTGCAGGGGATTGCATAAAATGGGGCAATGATTACAGATGCAATGATTAACCAGTAGCAGATGACAAGAGAATCACCTGGAACTTTATGACCTATCTCCATCAATAAAATGCTGATACGGGCATTGCATAGCAGCTGTCTTGCACAATTCTAAAGAAAGGGCATCACCTTTGGATTACAAGTCTTAAACTTTTTCAGAACTAACAACTGTTCTGACATGCACGGAAGTTGTTTTAATCAGCTGTATTTTCCAAGGTTTTAACGTTAAAGTTGCTCTCAGCATGGAAGGTCACTTGCATCTGTGATCATAGCTCAAGGGTGCTGGAACCAACAAGGACCGCTTTTGGTAATATTTAGAACCCTGGTTTGGAAATGTTTGTAATTGTGTTGATTTTGGAGGAGCCCATAAATGACTGTTCTCAGGTGACGCTCCATAGGAATATGCTAATGACACACATCACCCCCGAGCCATGTTTACATGAGACTAAGAACCATGTTCAGACAGCCTAAATTTCACATAAGTTCTTGAACCCAGACTTTTCCATTTACTGAGTGTTTCCAAGGGCTTAGTGTCCTCCAAAACAACTTAAAAACACACCACTTACAAAGTCTAAGACCTCTGAACACGAGCCTATGTGTTTAACGTTTTCAGCGTCAGTACAAGTGATCAAGATTTAGGGGTAATGACTACAGACCCCCCAAAACCAGAAGCCTCTGTATGCCGATTATAAAAGCAGTCAGCAATGTAATTTTGTTTATTACCAGGCTCTAGTAACTTGGGGTCGTGTAGCTTGAGGGCGCCACGCTACTGGAGATACAGAATGCTGTACAGGCACACAGGTGTTTCACTTGAGATCAAGAATACTGGATCTTCAGCATGAAGGAAATACCTGCCCTCACTTTGCCCTGTTCGATAACCATACTATCACCTCTCCCCACCACTAACGTGACCTTTATTCCACAGATACCAATTACCTATTTCCCTTTGACAGTGTAACTGATGCTTATTTAGTCAAACTCTCAATAACCATTCTCAACTTGTACTTAGCATTAAAATTTTCCATTTTTATTTTGGAATCTGCAGAAAGACTTGTGTGTGTACAGATGTCTCTGCTTTCTCCAGTTATAGTAGATGGTGTGACTAGGAACATTGCCTCCATCTACCAACTGTGATAAATCAAAAAGTCTTTTGATGGGGGCACTATTCCGAATATCTTTCTGTTAAACAGCACTTACAGGAAACCAACACTGACCTTGCCCAGAGAAATCAGAAGATGGGGCATCGCCAATATTTGATGCTAAACAACTTTAATAGTTTATTTATCTGTGTTAACAATAACGGATCTTAGGTACTGAACTAGGATGAGTTATGATGAACTAACATAAATCTGGTGGTTCTCGACTGACTTATAAGGTATCTTTAGCATCATGTACATGCACTGTACATCAACACAGCTTGAGCAGATCTCAACTGCACTCAAGTGCACCCAGTCTTTAACATGAAATTCTGTCGACTTGGATGCGAAGGGTTGTAACTACTTAAAACCAGTACTGAACAGGTGGGTGGCATATTAGGCATGGTGCTAAAAGTATGGCATCAGGCACAGAAGTTGACACTTATTTAAATGTAGAGGTCTACACTGTAGGTGCTATAACTGAGCTGGCTATTTTAAGGTCTCCCTATGAGTCAATGAGGTTTACAGAGTGAGCTGCTCTTATTCCCAAGTAGACACCTACAAACAGTCGTATGATTCAGTTTTAAAAAGTTCTTAATTCTCTCTGTTAACTAGAAAAGGAGGCTAGGATGGGAGGTGTCTAGCTCATGTGTGGGCCGTACCACTGTAGAATGTTGTAGGTCGTATTAGCTTCGTAAGATCAGTGATATGAAATGAGCATAAACTAATCACAAAGTAACTTGGGTAGGCATGTAACCAAACTCAAGGCTGTAGCTACACATTTAAGGACTCAGCCAGCCAAAACCAACCCCGCATCAGACACGGTTTGTGAGCCACCCTCCTGCTCCTTCTGGTTATATTTCTTTTAATTAAAATATCCATAATGATAAATGTTAAAAATTCTCTCTTAAGGAAAAAAAATGTTGTCAAGGATACTGAGTATTATCCAAGCAGAGGTATGGCTGAATTTATGACTTCTATAGTTAAACACAGTAATATTGTTAGAAGAAAGGAACGTTTACATGTCACTGTAAAGGAAACATATGAGTTACTCCTGAGCATCTAGGTGAGTTTTGTTGCTGCACCTTCTCACTCCAGTTACGGAGTTCTTGGTCCAGGGAATCAAAACACTCATCATATCAATTGACTTCAGAGCTGTAAGAGTGATGCAGAGTGCAGATGATCAATAATATCAATAATAATTGGGACCGAATATATAGCAATAAAGATTTGTACTTACATAGGAGAAAAAAGTTGAAATTCAGAAAGAAATCATTTCAAAACTGCTGTAAGAATCTCCTGGAGGAGAAAACAGTCTGTTCTTTCTCCTAGCTCTGGAATAGTTTTAAGCTATGTGGTGAAAAAGGAATGTTGTTGCAAGACAGGCGCCTAAGGAACTGTCCGCATCCCTCAGAATGAAGCATTGACATTCTGAAGAAAGAGTATTTCTTACATTTTCAGTACAAAATAGGAAGTAAAAGAAAGGGGAGATAAAAGCATAATTCTCTCCCAATGAATGTGACTGAGCAAGTACAGTTCAGGTTGGGTGACTTTACACCTGGATGTCACAGACAAATAAAGCTGACACATTTTCTCCTCGCTGGGAAAATATATTCTATTTCCAGAAGACAAATATTCCAAGAAAAATTAACTATACTTGCACCTCTTTTAAACATTCATGAAGAAAAATAACAGGAAGCATGCAATGTAATCTTGATTTATGCAGCCATAAAGAGCTGGGTAGTAAAGATCTCATGAGTTATTAATAACATCCATCATTGGCAGGATTAATTGCCTGGTGAGGGAAATCCTAGCGGACCCCATCTGCTGAAAATTCCTCCCATAGGCAACTGAGAATTTGTGAATTTGTGTTGCTTTTCATCTCCCTACAAAAATCAGTGGTTTGAAGAAATGGACAAAGCTGGTAACTGAACCACCTTACCCTGTCCTTCATTAGAGTGCCACTGTTTACTTATGATGCTTCACACTCAGAAGATTTAGTTCCACTTCTTCACTTCCAAAATAAATATCAAAAGGAACCACAGCACATTTAGCAATGCATTACATTCCAGCTTTTGGCAACGATATAGAAGGAACTTATTTGAGTAGGCCTTTCACCAGTCTTCACGTTTGAAGGAACACTACACCTAGGTGAAAACAGGGCAGCTTTGAGATTTGAGATGTTAGTGCTTCTCCAGTAGCACGCAGCCTGAGTGTGTTCTGTCTCACCACAAAAACACAAAATTTCATCACAAAATTTCTTTTTTAATGCTAGTATGGTACATGCTAATCTATAACCTATGTAATACGCTGCTTTACACGGACACTAAAAATCTATCTATCTCACCTGTTGCACTCTCAAGAAAATTCAAAAATGTTTTGGGTCAGTTCTATAACTGTTTTAAGTTTTTCTTTTATATTGCAAGAAAATGATAATGTGCTCTAAAGCATTCTAATGCCTATTGAGTACATGAAGAAACGGTCTTATAATATTTCATGTGATTTAAAACTGAGCATGAATCTGAAGGCCTAATACTCAAATAAAACAGTTTCACCAATGGAAGATATTCTCTAAAATGTTGTATTTTAGCAAATATAAATTTTTAACCGTCAAATTTTAGGCATAAATTATTTAAGGAAGTCATGTTTGCTAGCTACAAAAGCACCAAGCTCTGAAAACTCTAGTAGATAAATAATTAATACCTCACAAGAGCTCTTTGGAACCAAAAAGAAACAGCCAGAACTATGTTACAGCTAGGTTAGTTTATAATTTGGATTATACGTTTCAGAAGAATTCAAAACAGGCAACAGATCTTTTTAAACTGTCCAAAAGCAAAGACTCAAAATTTCAACTTCAAAGAGTCTCTTTCATCTCAACAAGTCAAGACTGAAATATTTGGAGACCAGAAAACGCAGCTGAAAACCAAATGGAGGTCAGAATGCTATACACAGCTAAAAAGAGATGAGGAAAACTGAAAATGAGAAGAAGACAGAAGGGCTGTTTTAAAAGTAGGAAACTGGGGAGAACAGAAGCTGACAGGGAAATGACAATAGAGTATTTTGAATATCTCAGTATTACTTCTTGCTGATAGTTAATGCAACTTTTCCACTAACTGCTAGGAAATTAGTGGGTGTGCTGAATAAAATCGTGAAATACCAACACATCAGCAGAGTGTGTTAAATCTTCATTGTCAAAAATCAACAAAGTGTATGTAATAAAAGTTTTGTCAATATAGGCATGAAAGGTGACAGTATTTATCTGACATAGCTAGCTCTCTAGCTCCTTGCCTTTCCAAGAATAAACATCACATCCAGCCCAGCAGCAGAAAGAAGATGCACTCCAGCAAATGTGTGCATGTGGCTTTCAAGACGAGATATTCACAACTGAATGAAACAACCCAGGTGCTTTAAGCCTGCGCTGAGGAAAGGAGAGCACAGTATGAATGACATCGCCGTTTATCCCATTTCCAAACTACAGATTCATTACATTCAAATGCTGCAACAATAAACAATGTTTACTCAGCGAGTACTTTCGCAATAAAATGTGAAGGAACATGAGTTTACCCACTGGAACCAGGATCACACTAGGAATTAGAGCTCGGTTTGTTAATTACCTCTGATATCAGTCAAAAAAGGTTTGAACAAACTCAAGGTAGGTGAAAGACTAGAAAATACAGAGAGAGGTCTAAAGGGATAAAACTGTTTTTGTAAGGCAGAAAAGTGTATGTGTGTCTCCTGATCAATCCTGTTTGAACGGCTTATTTTTGTGACGTGAATCAGTGATTCTTCCATAAAAGCACAGTGATCTGGCTGTGACGGTCTTTCAGGACAATAAGCAAGAACTTGTTCTTTTTAGAGCTTCTGCCTCACATTTTAAGTACAAGCTATTTATAGAAGCTTGCAGAGACAGATGCAGAGAGATAAAAGTCATGATTTTGTCATCATCAATGAAAATCACAGCAGTGTGACCTCCACACTGTCATACAGAAATAGATCTATCAGTCCCTGCTGCATTAAGACTTGATTCAGCCATAAAAGGACAGGTTACTTGTGGGTGGCATCTAGTAACTAAGTCTGCTTTCAGATAATCTATTTCTTAAGCAAGCAGAAGTAGTTTAGTAAAACAAACAAACCAACCAACCAACCCCCAAACCCTAATGAGTTTTAGTTGCTCTAATAGCAGAAATGAGAAGACAACACAGGGTACAAGCACAGGTAACCAAGCCTATAGCTCATTTAATCCAGGATTGGCAAACTTTAAAAACAGGTATTTTTAAGGTATAATTCTTGTCAGAGATTTTTTTTTTAACTTGCTATTCCTGATTATTATACTAAACAAAGCTCATACTGATATTTAAGGCATAATCTCAAAAAGGAATTTCTCAGATTATTTAGCTATCTAAACTCAAGGCTATGCTTCTGTTCACTTACCATCTTTTTAATCTGTAATATGCTGCTTTAAAAGGTGTACTCCTTTTTGGTGGGCAGTTTAGTTTGTGTATAGGTAGAAAACATTCCAATTTTTCTTTCTGCTGTTTAAAAAATAACCTTCTCCAAACCTACAGTTACTAGTACTAATAACTAATACTAGTTACATGACATTTCTTAACCACAAAGTCCTAAAAATGCAAAATATGATAGCTTTTTTAAAATACTGATTTTCCTCCACTTGGGAAAGCATTCTGGCTTTATGTACTATGTATCAAAAATTTGCGACTTGTTTCAAGCAAGATCTTACCGCTTTTTGGCGAGCAAGAGTTTTGTTTTCCACAGCTTTCTGTCTGAAACACTTTCCTCATCCTTTATGCCTCATCAGTTCTCCGTATTATTTGAAACCCCACTGAAAAAAACGTAATCTTGACCATTCCTCTTTATTTCTCACTCTCATGTTTATTCTTTGGAGTATTTAATTGATATGTGCAAGCTCTGAGAAATAATGTTATCCTTGATTTTAATTACATGTGACAATACAGAGTTTTGTTACTTTGCAGATGCTAATTCACCGTCCTTGGAGTAAGGAAAATGTCAGTCAGTATTTTCCTTAAGAGATGGGAGAGGGATACATAGGCATCTGTTACACTTTATGCCCGTGTTCTTCAGGTAGGTTTGAATGTAATATCCATGTATTCTACCTGCAACTAATTCCCCATAGGAAATGGTTAGATTTTAGCAGTTATATCTTCAGTGTAACTTGATGATGCTGCCAACTCTTGCAACTATTTTCTTGATGTTCCTAAGGCTAATGGTTCCTGCATTACACCTTAATTGTAAACAAGACAAAGTATCTAGCTCTTACAGCATCAAGAAAAAAGAGCAAGAAAATGCTAATAGACTGTACTGTAAAGGCTGAAGACAGGAGAAGGTAAATAAAAACGTGCTTTTGTAGATTTAATGATTTTTAAGTTTACATTCTTATTTTGATAGTTGATGGTTGTGATTGTGAATCTGCCAGTGTCAAGATCTACCAGTTTTTATGCTGATGGCATGAGTGCAGAGCATTGCAGAAACAGGACTACAGTGATGTGATGGTGCAAGGGTCTAGTCCGGATATTTTGTGATTAATGAAGATACTTTGAAGTTAAACTTGAAATTAAAAGAAGTGATAAATGATATGTGATACTGAAGGGCTAAAGAAATGGCAACAAATAAGTTACTATCAAAGAAATAAAACGAAATAAAAGAGGACGCAAGTTTTAACTAACATGAACATAAGTATTCATTTGTCAGAGGAAGATGCAAGTTGAGAACTCATTTTATTCCTAAGAATGCCACCAATGTTGATTCTATCCAGCTCAGCACAATTATTCCATATACTTTTTATTCAAAATTAATATTGTATTGAGGTTGTTTAAAAGCTTCACATGTCCCAGTGACCCACCTTTTAGAGAGAAGTATGTCTTCCAACGGTTATTACCAAGAAAAAAAAAACATCTTTTCTCAGTAGAGTTGTAGAAAATCTGCACACTTTCCTCATAAACGGCAAAATAAGGAAACACTGGAATAAAGCTCTTTGATGTTTATCATTTTGAGAGTTCTACGGAACAAACTAATGGCAACAGTGCTGACTCATCACTGCACTGAAAGTGGGAATGAGTTAATAACTAACTATACAATTTCAGTTTCATCATCTCTCTCTTTTTGAGAGGAAACTGAACGGATTAGGGAGGTTTAATAGAATCAACTTATTTAAAAAGACAGCCTAACGGCAGGGCTTTATTAGTTTCCATTCTTCACTTTTATTTGTGCCTTTGGTACATACCTGATCCCTGCTGTAGCTTAGAGTGTAACTCACCTGTTTTCCTCTTCCAGATCTGCAAGAATCCTCTCTAGTTCACCTCTTTCTTCACTCTCCAGAGAAATCAAAATCTGGGCAGGGCTTCGGGGCTGGCTCAGGGGGGACTCCTGGTTCAGACTTTGGCAGTAGTGCTGGATTAGCAAGTGTTCATCATCGCTGGAAAATAGAGGAGGATAAAACAGGCTGCTACCTTTTTCATTTTTACCTTTGCAATGAATATGAGGAAATGACTCATTGTAAGGCTCTCATTTCTTACAAGGAAATTCACTGAACTCACTGTAATGAACAGCAGAGCAGTGTATGTGAAATGAAATCTGCTGAATTGTTTCACTTAGTCTGTGGTAATTTTCCTCCTCCACAGACTCCATCTCTCTTCCCCTCTGCTTCTCAGATATTTAAAGTCCAGTATTGTCACAGCTGAAATCTCAGCTTTCCTTTTTCACTCAACTTAAATTAGAGATTTGCTTGAGAGAAAAAGCCACCTTATGCTACCTAACTGTATTGAGCAAGGTTTATCCAAGCACAGGCGAAATATTTATTTTTACACTACAAACTCTCCTCATTTAGTAAAGGCATCCCATATTTACGTATTTTAGTCCTTAAAACTGTAAATTTAGTGAAATGAAAGAAATCTTGACTTATTCATAATTTCATGAAATTAGGCTATTTTTGACTACGGAAATATTTTGAAAGTACAGATGACGTACACCACCAGAATATAAATATATTCTATTTTATACATACGATCCATTTCTTAATTTCTATTTCCCCTGAAACTATCAGGTTTCAAGCACAAGCATATCTGGAAAAAAAACCCAAATCCAGTTCTGAAGACCTTAACAAACCTCACAGAATGAAATTAAAGTTCTGGGTGCTAAGGAAATGCATTCTGGCGCTAAGACGGGCAATTAACATCAGCAATAATTTTAAGAAACCATGAAAGGTGGCATCAGTACAAGTCAATGACAGGAAAGAAACACCACTGCTGTTGAGAATCTTGTTCTTCCGGTAACATTGAGGTATAACACAAAATCACTTAGTATACTTTTTTTCTGTTACTTTTGCAATCCAGAATTTAAAGGACATCTTGAATTCTTGTTATTATTCAAAAATTAAAACATTCTCTGTTTCCATTTTGTTCCTGAAAATGACGCCATTTTATAGACTGCAGGAGAGCCAAAGCAATTTAGAGCACATTAACATTGGTTCATAACAGAGAACTATCAATTTTTCACAAAGGGTATTCTTTACTTATTTTAAACAAAATTTTCAAGGCTCACTAGTTCCTAAATTTATACTTTCCATGAAGCACTTCAGCTTTGAATTCACTCAAACAACTACTCTGCATATATATACATCCTTATACATCCTAAGTGAATTAATGGGGAAAAAGTGACATAATGACTGCTGCACTAACTAGATTGTCATTTTCCAAGACATACTCCTTGCGTCATTTTCAGCCCGCACATATTTGTAGATATAATTACAATGATGCTGCAGATCCAAATGTTTTGTGTCCGTATATACAGAGATGTCCTCCTCCCCTCCATGCATCAATGTAGCTATCATTCTACCTGCAATTATAAACCAGGTAATCCAAAGCCCATGAGAATGTCACTAAACAATACTCGAAGAACACCTGACAAAGTTACAGCTCCAAACTCACTTAAAGCACGAAGAATTTTTGGAGCTTTGATTTTACTGCCATTTGTATCTGGATCTCAGTTCTTCCAAAATTCAGAAGATACAAATATATTCTAATTTTAATACTGCAAACTGAGTGATAAACTGAGTGGAAAGTCAGTGGCTAGCTTATTAACTTAAGCATACGAATACAATTTTTAATTAACCAAAGAACGAGTTGAATAGTAAGATCAAAGCACAATAAGAAAAATATAGCTTACGTATGATTTTGTGCATAAGGGCACTCAAATACTTCACTGAGGACAAGAGGAAAAATCATATATAATAAAACTACTACTAACCACAACAATCCAAGATTAGCATTAAATCTGGAAACAGGGTTTCATTAATTGTGTGAAACTACGCTGACATTATGTATGTATTAGCTTTGACATGACATTTTCATTTTTTCCTTTTTGAACCAATAGATTAAAACAATGGTAAAGTACTGGGCTGTACACATAACTTTCTTTCAAACTTGGTGGGTAACAATCCTATCAAGTCAAAAGAGAAATGATTTCAAAACAAAGAAATAAATTGCTTTATTAATATCCAAGAACGTATCACAGGCTCACAAACATCCTTATAAAATACTGATGCCTTGGAATCAAGTACTGGAGTTCTGTGCTCTAAAGGAACACCATAAACTTAGTAAAAACCATATACTATCTGATTTAAAAAAAAAAAATTACTTACACTGTGGTAAGGATCCCACTACAGACAATAGAGAAAACACTTCAGAATGTTGGGTGTTATTTTTTTTTTCCTGTTTGATTCATTTGGAATCTATGTTATGGCTTCTTCTACACTGTTATAACGTTAACTAAGAACAAATTTTCAAGCACTCCAGTGATTTATGTAGTTATACACTGTTCCTGAAAGCACTACCCACAGTTAGCTTTCTGGTTCTGTGCGCTCAGAGATAAACAAGATAAAGAAAGCTTTGGAAAAGGAGAAATGTACGATCATGTCACAAAACTGTAAAAATGTCTCAGTGTGACATGAAATTGAACTACTTTTTTGAAAACATTCCAAATTGACATTAACTTCTATACTATATATGATTTTAAATATAAAGTAGTAAAATGAATGCTTGTCAGTGATCTGTCCAGCTTAAGGTTTACGACTTTTGATATTTCACAGTGAGGATGAGTCACTTCTGGGTATTACTGGTGATGTATTTCAGTTATTTGAAGACAAAAAATTTCTGTATAGCCTCACTAGCCTTCTGTATAACATTTTCCCCACAACATTTTCTAGCTTACAATAATTTCATCATGTTAAAGCTTGCAGTTCAGATAGACGGGATGCCTTTTCTTTGTCCTTGAAACACATCAGATGATAAGCGTATTTTCCAAATAATATGGGAAGTGTTTGCTGAATAAATTAGTAATTTTTGTTGAGAAATTAATAAGTTTAATTTTGATGATATTAACCATCTGTTGCATAAATTAGGTATTAAGCTATAAACCATAAATTCAGACACCACTATATAAACTGAGCGAACATGAGAAGTTCACCATGAAACTGAACCAGGTGTAGGACATGGCCATGCAAATTCTGGTTTTATAGAATTCATTACCAGTTGTAGACCTACACAAGAAAATATATACGAAAAATATTAGAACAATCCACTTACATGCTTTCATTAGGTGAAATACTGTCATTTAGATAAGAACCATTGCTGTTCTCCATTTCTGCTAGCCTACGGAAAAATAAACAAACTCATTAAAATCAACAGCGTTTTTCAGAAATTTTGCTTGCTCTAACATTCCTGAAAGAATTAAAGAATGCCGTATTTTTGATGACTTAAGAGTATTTGAAACACAGACGACTTTACATTCACTGTTGGTTACCAAAAGGCTTTGCAATAAGCTATCACAAGTAATTGTTTATAAATTACAGTGACCTGTTTAAACTCATTTCTAAGTTTTCAACTCTTCCTCTGAGATTATATTCAATTCCTCCTGATTAATTAATTTCACAATCAAAGAAAGGCCTGGAGATGCCAGGGGATTCCACAAATTGTTCTGTAGCTGTCAATGCCATCACAGAACTGAAATGACCAGTCACTTCTCATTGGTTTTCAACATTTAGTCTCTCCTACGTGTACTGCATAATTTAGAAAATACCTCTGTTGATCATGTGGTTTTTTGGGAGGAAAAGAGGAAGCTGGAATAATTATTTTTCACCATCTCAGCCCTTGCAAATTAACCTGCTTGGTAGAAAACCAGCTTATTTTTTGTAGTTGCTCAGTTAACCCACTTTTTGACTGTTAAGAGCAATATGGAAGTGGACAAGTGTAGTAAAGCAGTGACATATTACTATTTTTACCCTCCAAACCAAGGTCCTGTCTGCAATATTTGTTACGGTGAATTACTTAACACTGAAATGTGAATTAATTATGGCATTTGAGATTCATGTACAGTTTGGAGGTTTCAGCTCCTCTGATTTATATGATTACCACGGTCTATATGAAAAATAAAACACTCTTAACCTGAATGCACGCCTTAACAAAGACCCCCACAGAAACTAAAGGCCATTTTAATCAAGTACACGCTCTGGCATGCAAGTTAGTTGATAGAATGATTAGTGGTAGTTACGGGTTATACTCTGCATCCCAGATCTGGGAAAACAAATCCCCAAATCCTATTTTTCTTTAAGAACTATTCAGGTTGCAGCTAGCTTTTGGGATTTTTTAAAAGATTGTTTAAAGAAAGATTTGCCTAATGTCCAGCTGGTCTCATACCTGCTAGCATAATGTTCAATGCGTGAATGAGTATCATCGTGTGAAAGCTGAGGGGACGAGGCAGGCCTATAAGGCAGAAAACACTGATTAATCACAAACAATACCCCTTTAAAAGTAAAAAAGACACTCAGGTATGTCTATGCCCTCGCATTTCTATGCCTTATGCTTTTACTGTTTGATAAAACAGCAAGTTATACTTCTGATCCTTTGTGATGTGTGTGCTTCCTCAAGTCACCAGCAGAGTGTTTTGTGATACCAGACAGGATCGTGACAATTTTGCAATTTGTCTGTGACAATGACTTTTCTCTATACAAATACCTGAAGAACCTTTTTCCCAAAGGATTTACAGATGAGCTTTCTCCCCGATTCTCCTTCACACCAGCCTCCTACATTCATAGTTCTGTTTTACTCACAATTCCATGTATGCTCTGAAGCCCTGCTTTCATGTGTCACTGAAAACCTTTTCTCTGCCTCCTTCCCTGGTCCAATATATGTTTCTAGCCCAGCAGAAGCACTTTCCATTTAAATGTGCCTGTCAGTACTTACTCCACGATCAACTAGGAATAAATACATGAAAGATAAAATGTCTGAAATAAGCCTTTAATAACACACTGCAGAAACTGATGATTTGGTCTGGCTTCTTTCCAATGTTGCAATTTGAACCAATAAATCAGTGTGTTGTACTGTTACCTGTTCTATTTTGGATTTTCTGCCTGACAAATGAGTTTGGCAGAAGATCCTCTTCACTTTTTTCTGTCAGTCAAAACAATTAATGGGACTTTTCTCAAGAATTAGAATATTGTTCTGGCTTCAGTCTTGAAAATTGCACTGATATCATTATTTTAGCTAGATATGCAGTTCAGAGATCGCTGTACTGGTAGAAAGTACTGTAATGTGATGTGGAATTTGGCCAGTCTATTAGGACATGCTAGAAAAATAAAAAATGATGCAGCTTTCCAGATTGTACAACTTCAAATTTCAGCGAAATTTCCCCTTCTGTCTCTTTATTCTGTCTATAAGGGCTCCTTTCAGAACTGCTGAGTTATGAAATATCTTCCTCTCATTTTAAATTGTTATATATTGTAGTTCAAGCTGGTTCTGTTCAGTGTGGATTGCATTACATTTCAAGAGTGGATAAAATAACTTCTGTATTTACTGGTTATAACTCAAAATTTTAACAGTCATGTGGTGGATAATGCTGCTGTTAGGAGTTTGATAATCCTGTAGCAATCTACTACAGAATCATTACACATTACTGCTCATCTTCTAGTTTTCATATCAGCCTGCAAAGTGCTTTAGAAAACTAGGATCTTTCAGAATTCATAGAACGATATGCTGCATATGTAAAAGTCATTATTATCAATGCTTCTTCTCAGGGAATGAGAAAGCTTTTCTCTGTAAGATATTATTGGTCAAGTATCAAGAATCTCATTTTGTCTGAAGTGAGCTTTGGCCTCCATCTCTAAGTTTATCCACCATATAGTCAAGCATTACCAGAGCAAACCAGTAGACAAATACTCAGTTCACAGAGTTCCTCAGTACAACAGAGATGCATGAAGATGGGCAATTGATTCTCTGCAATCTGATATCGCATTTTGCCTAAGAAAATCAACACTGAAGGGAAAGGAGTGGGAAAATAGTGCAATTTATCCAGAGCAGTGCATTATGGAGCAAGATAATAACACTTTTCTGATTAAAAAAAATGCAAGTAGCATTAGTTTGTTTGTTTGACATACAGTACGTGTTAAGCTGGTCTAAGATGGTAACTATCAGTGAAAGAAGAGGTCTTGCTCTCAATGCACACACAATTGTGTTTCTGCTCCTACCACTACCTCTAGATTAGGAAATCTGCGCTAAAAATAGCTTTAGTTTTGAACGGAATCATTCTCCTAATCCGTCTTAATGATGGTACTACACCTTTGTACCAGTACAAAGGAAAGGATAACACTTGTCTGAGACCAACTGGCCAAAGGAGGAAGAGATGTGATGCTCCCTTTGGCAGCAGTGCAAGCTAAAAGATTCAAACTGCAGACTATCTGCATGCTTGCATACCTGCTGCCTTGAAACTAAGTTTTACCTTTAGAAGTGAACAAAGTATGATTCCAGCACACCAAAAAAACGTTAAACTAACAGAAATTGAGAAACAGACTTAAAAAAATATGAACATGAATCTAGCATATATATCTTACTAGTGAAAAATAAAATATTAAGACACTTTTGTAAAAAACTGATCCAAAGCCAAAAAACAAAATAAAACCTGATTTAATCCCAAATCCTATTCTCTCATTTTAGGCACTTCCAAAATTAAAATGTAAAATAATTCAGTAGGTTACAAAAATACTATTAATAGACTTCCTTTTTCAGCTAATTCTTCATACATCCTTGTCATGTCCTCATATGCTTTCAGGAGTACCTGACTTTGCTTTGAATTAGACATAGGACACCAGGTTTGGTGCACCTTATATTTGACCCAGTACACTCCACTGGGGTGTTCCCCCTACCCCGTATATTTAAAATATTTCAAGGACTTCTGTAGGGACACATATATAACCCAAATACTTTACACAGAAAACTGGCAATAGCTTTTTCCTTCCACATACTTCTGAAAATGAGACAGGATTTCTGAGGTGGAAATGAAAGTAGGAAGGTTAAGGGTTTTATTTTGTAATAATGCCAGAACACCCTCAGCTCTATCTTGATGTTTTTTAACTCCTATAACCAAAGAGTAAATTGTAAATTTTTTTTTTCCCCTAAAAGATAGCACAGTGCGTGTAACTTGTTCAAACTGACTGTGTCTCTCTGCCAACTACAGGCATGTGATGAGGCTACGTTTTCAGGTTTGTCTGCACTTCAAAATATACTGCAGTAGCGATCTATCTCACTGAGTTTTTTAAAAATTTGCTTATGAAAGCAAACATGTTGAAGAGCACTGCAAAGTTTCAGCGTTGTATTTAGTTGTTTAAAGGCAGACTTCTGCCAGTATCTGAACTAGCCTGAGAATGACTCCGCTGCAGTGCAGTCTGCTGTGTAGACACATTCGTAGATGACCATCCGTAAAAGAGCTCACTATCCTTACTTTTTGAGGACATGTAATCAGCTCACATAACCACTTTCAGTAGTCAGTAAGAAGGCTTAGAAACACAGCTAATATTTAACCCAGATATAAATTCCTTTTACTAAGGCACCATAGTTACATATTTCAAGATGGTGTCTGCAGTAATAGCCATAAGAATTCCACTGAAGTCAAGTGGCGCTTGAGTGGCAAATACCATATCCTGCAGTTTCCTACGCTCACAGAAACTTGGGTGAAAAGATGAAGACATTTTGCTTGCTAGTCAACATTTCAGTTGATGCTTGAAAGTATGGAATCATGTTACTGTTTTTGTCCCCGTGACAGTCCCCAGTCCAAGCATAAAGAGAGAAATTCTCCTTGTAAAATGCATGAGCTGCCCCTTTACTTCATGGCAACCAGAATATAGGTAAAGCATCAGCTAATAAGCAATCGGAATCACTAACTTCTAACGAAAAAAATGTATGTATATATACTTATAAGCAACCCCAGACATTATAACATACTGCTGATGTTAGGATAGTGCTAGCACTATTGAATGCTGTCAGGTTATGCTCTTCTGGAGGTCTTTGGAGACTACCAGAAAACTGGTATGAAAGCACCAGAATAAGAAAAGATCTCAGAAGACATAGGAAAGTTTTCTAATAATCAGAGTAAGAGGTTTGACTGCCAAATCTGGAATTAGCCTTGTAACCAAGAAATAGCTTTACACCTCCACCTCGTTAGCTCAGTAACTTGTATTGTAAGCCTGCTGGCCTAGCACTAAGGAAAGAAATAAAGCTAGTAGAACAAAGAAAAATTGTTTCCATTTTTTCATTTTCTGCTTTCTTGTCAGATCAGATGAAAGGATCGCGTTCATGAAGACATCCGAGTTGGTCGCCTAAGACTCGTTACCTTTCCCTACAAATCCCGCTTCGCAGTATTTCTCGAGCTCGCTGAAGTATTACAAGCAAGTTAAACTCCCTGTAGTATATGACCCCTTAACCTTTGGTGTGAAGCTATTATCTTAGGCATGCTACGAAGTTATTTCTGTAAGTGAAGTAGCACTCTGCCTTACAGTTAAGTATGCTGTATCAGCCTAATTTCATGTTATGCCAGAAACAGTAGCGACATTCCATATCATCCAAGCTTTATTTAGAAAGTTACTTTCAACTTTTCAATCTGCTTTAAAGATAAGAAACCTAGATCCACAATTTTGTATGGTGCCCTGCAATTACTCCCAGAGGCATTTACAAACACAAATGCATCCAGAAGTTCAAAGCCCCTCTATTTCAGTCTGGCTCTAGCCTTTTGCATTTTCTGTGGGTGGATCCTCAGCCACATGTGGTTTGCAGCAGCACGTGGATTTCTTGGTTGCTTAAAGCCGGCTTCCCGGAGGAAGACCACTTCAACTGCCTCCACAAAGGCTTGTGCTTCAAATGAAAATTCTAAATCAATGTATACATTTCACTACTGTTTATTCTACCAAAAACTCAATGTAAGTGCAAGCCATATACATTTCACCATGTTACTAGAAATATATAAAATTCTATTCATTAGTATCTCAATATTATCAATAAGTAAATTAAAAATAATCTTTATTTAACATTATTCTAAAACTATCGATATAACACAAGTAGTAGCAAATGCCACAAGGCATATATCTTTAGTTTATGCTAAGGGTATTACTACAACAATAACACAATGCATGTGCAGGAATGGTGCAAGAATGAAAATCCAGTTCATAGTTGAAAAATCCTGCTTTTATAACTTCTGAAAAAATAGAAAACATACTTCCCTATTTTGATCTGCCTTCACAAATCCTACTAAAACCTGTAATAAAATATCTAATGAGCTTTGGATTATCAGGGCACGTGACTGTGTGGGTGCACATGGATGTGCATAAAACCTAAACAATGGTCTTACGTACAAAACAATGTCACTTCCGAAACGGAATTAAATCCATAAAGTTCAATGCATATCTTTCAAGAAGCATTTAGTTTACATTTGAAGGGATCCATACTTATCCAGAAACACAGATTTTTAAATGGTAAGTTCTCATAAGCGTTAGTAGGACGGTGCACCAAAATCCCACTTAATTAAATTAAAATATATACTCCAGAGAGAGTATGCAGTACATATTTCATGATTGCTGGGAATTCCTGGATTTATCCCATTCTATAAGAAAGTCTACCAGAGAAAATAATCACAAAGAAAGAAGGAAATGAACATATGTAAAACTAAACAAGGAAACAAACAAAAAAGTGAGGGGAACGCAGCAGCAGTAGCAGCAGCAGCACACTTCAGCAAAAGTACTCACGCAGAATCTACTGGCCAGAAGTTGATCAGAGTAACAGGACTGCAAGACAAAAAATGAGGAGGTGAAGAGAGAGGCAGAAGAAACTCAGCAGCAAAATAATTACAGAAAGACTAAAAAAAAAACACAACAACTGAAAACAGAAAATCCAACAGACCAACATGAATGGCCATGAAGAGCAACCAACCAAAAAGTGAGAAAAAATTAAAATCTAAAATTAAAAAGGAGAGAGAGAGAGAAAGAGAAAGAGAGAGAGAGAGAGAGAGAGAGAGAGAACAAGCTGTGTGCAATTGCCATTAAACAACTGATTAAACTTGTAAGAAAACCAAAGGGAACTGGGTTACTCATTGATTTCTCCATGTGTACCATTATTCCTTTTTTCCTCCCCCCATAAATACTTCAAAGCCATTTAATAAGACTAAATTTATAGGGTGAGAAAAGAAGAAATCAGCCAGGAAGCTGGCAAACATAGTAATCTAATTAAAAAAAAAATACAAACACAAAGATATCCACTTGGAAGAAAATAAAAATTTTATAATAAAAAAAAACAAATAAAAAAAATAAAAAAATAAAAACAAAGAAAACACTAGTTTCCAAATTGTTCTATCAAATTTAAAAGCTTATAAGGCTGTCAGTAAGATGGTATTTTTCTTTTACTAACTAAAGTTTAAGTTCCTCTAAGGATAGATGAAAATAAAGGGAATGGCAATTGGGATCCCAGCTTGTGTTTTCCTGTCAGCCAAAGTTAACAAAAATGAAAGACATAAGGAGGCTTTATGCATTTAGGAAGTGAAGGGAGTTGGCACCAGCTGGGGAGCTCAAAGAGCATACCAAAGGAATTACTACTTATATATTTTAGAGCTACTCACGTTTCCATGTTGTCTCCCTCCAAGACAGTTTGCACAGGCAGGTAGCCCATTCGTGGGTGCTTTGCAAAATATCTTTTTGTTCGAAATTTGTTTTTTAGTACCTTGGCAAAGTCACGGACATCTTCTCCTGAAGTCGTCTGAAAGCCACAAATCACAATGAAATCACCTTTTCATGAGGTTGTTACTATCTTCAGTCGCCTCTTCCTTTGCTGGGGCATTTGAAAGAGCTGTGGCCTCACCAAGCGGAGCTGCCAGTGACTTGACCTCTGGAACCTCAAATTTTATGCATTTATCATTGTAGTCCTAAAATGTATTTCAAAAGGACACAGCTAGTGTGTGGGAAAAGGAAAAATGGGAAGCTCCAAAACCAGTAGTAACAGGCTCATGTCTCTTCTTGGGTGATCTGAAGATTGCAAACAATAATTAGGTAAGAATCTGTCATTTTCTGACTTGGCTTGGGATTCTTTGCCTGCTCTTTCTACAGCACTGAAATGGCTGCAAAGGAAGATACATAGTCTGTCTGTGTGAGCAACAGACTACTGACTGACTCCTGTCTTTCTACACATTCTTTATTACAAGAAGCTCATAGATTTGTCAGTCCATGAAAGTCAGTCTAATACTTCACGACTCTCTTAAGTTTCCCTTCTCAGCCTTTAACACTTTGATCAAAGAAGAACTGAAAACTGGTAAGAGCTGCTGAAACTTCTTAGATTAGTTGTTTTTTCTTGCGTCTGTTCAATCTAAAGCTAGCAGGCATTTAGATCAACAACCTGAAAAGAGTGCTATTTACGCAAAACTTTCCACCTCGTTGCTTGCACTCAGCTCCCTTCCTCCTCTAGAGACCAGTACAGGAGCAAAAGGCAGAATTTGTTTCCTAAAAACCAGAATGAGCCAGAAAGAGTTCAAAGAATGTCTTCTGGAAAGATGTACAACTTCCTGTGAGTATGATTAAGAATTAGATGATCCTTTTCTGAAGAATTTTAATGGAAGACTTCCAGCTGCTTTATTCAGTTTATACCCAATGCTTTACACCTCACAGAGAAACTTGACCCTGAAATACTGCTCTTCTACAGTAAGTTAAGTTTTTCCTAACCCACATAAGGATATCGCTTCTCTAGTGTATCTAATTTGAAGGAAAGAAATGAGGGAAAGTTAATCTAGCTGATATTTTTTTTAGCAAGTTCTATGACTTCCATTTAGAGAAGGAGGTGCTGGGATCTGTCCATCAAGCCAACTTTCCCAGAGCTGCTGATACATACCTACACACACACACATATATATTCAATTTTATAGGTATACATTTAATGATTGTTAAGATACAAACATTTAGGATGCCATGAAAAATAACATGCAAAAGGACTGAACTTACTTTAAGAGAAAGGACAGATGTTATGCCTCTACTCAGGATGCCTACCATCTTCTGCATAAAGCAGAAAGGAATTTGCCTCTCAGGTCAGTCTATCTTGCGTGAAAATTCAGTGCGTTCCGTGATTGGCAGAGAATTAATATATCAGAACCAACAAATTTTTGCAGCTGAACTATTTTTGTTGATGACCACCAGCCAATTTTCCAAAGACAGCTCCAAGTCCAGTTTTTGCAGTTAAAGATTCTCATGGTCCAGGCACCAATTTTTTTCTCTCAAAATTATACCATTTTTCTTTGTTACAGAAGAAGAAAAGATTTGGGGTCAAACATCTCAAATTTGCTGTTGTCTCAAACAATTCACTATTCTCATATTTGGTTTCATCAAAAGCCAACAATGAATAATATGTACTTCCGTCTTTTATATGGTGCATGTTTTTCAATGTATACACTGATGTAAATCAGTTCAGTTTATAGAGACATTTCAAACTGAAAGGGTACAACAGGTTCAAACATGAGGGTGACAGGAGTTTTACATTTGATTTTTCACAGTCATGTAAAGCAGATGAAGATGGCACATGGTCTTAACAAAACAACATTTGTATTTTCAAGAAACTGAGATAATCTCAATAATATTAATCATTACTTCCTCCGTACATTAGAAGTAAAGACATCTTGGGGAAGGAAGAGATTAAATATGCCCAGATCCCCTAGAGGATTCCGGAAAGGGGATGCACTGATAAGACCTAGCATTTTCCACCAGGAGGGAATCCTCTCTGACGACTGTAGTCTGCAGCATCTGTTAAGAGCATTCCTAACAAGGTCAGTGTCACGAAAGCAAATATAGCAAGTCAGCTGGGAACGGAGAGAGATTTTTAATATTTAATCTCGGTATAAATAGAATAAGCATATTTTTCTGTTTGTTTTTGTTCACCTTTGTCAGTTATGAACATTTATTACTATTTTGTTGTACACACTTTTAATTGCATTTTACTGTAACTAAGATTAAGTGTTTCCAAGCATGACTAACTGTGAAACATTCTTCCCCTTCCATCTTATAAACTAGAGATGTTGCTTGCTCCCCAGAACTATCTACATAGAATCCTAATGGTAAAATTGTGTGTTCCCACAGAAACATCACAATCTAGTTTGAAAGCTGGTTATCACAAGAGTCCCAAGAAGAAGAAATGTCTTCCAAAGACAACCAGAAGCACCAGCTGCTTCTCATACACTCCAATTTCAATTTCAAAAATGTTCAATGAGCTCAATAAAGGCAAAGAAAACGTGATTATTATGTGGACAAGCTGGTAGATTAAGGCCATTTTCAACTAAATTTTCCAATTTATTCCACAGATGTAACATTTTCCATTTCAGAGTAAAATCATCCACAACATATCCACACACCAGAACAGGTATATGAGGAAGAAACAGTGGATTTAAAGGTCTTCACCTTTAGCAACCTAGCCCTCTTAAATCAAAGCAATACATAGGCAGCTGGGCCCCACCAAACCTATTTCTTGACATCGGGTGAGCTTTACTAGTATCTGACTTAATGCAGTTTGGTTTATATAAGCACCTTGCCAGCCCAGCACCTGAGACCTCAGCTCCAATTGTAAACGCTTGCTGTATAAAGAAATCTCAATTGACATGCTTGCCCCAATCAACGTATTTTTTTCATGCCAGTGTGCCACTGTTAATCCTAAACACAAAAATGATCCTGCTTTTAGATCCCAGTCTAGAAGTCAGTTACTTCTTCTATGCTTCTTTTGAAACTGCTTTAAAACTCACCCCTCTTTGAACAGTAAACTGAGCTGTGTTGCTTGCAGGAATAATTGTAGTTTTTCTGTCTAACTGAAAATTAGGAAACTGGCTTGCCCTTATTCTGTCTCAACCTCTTGCAGGAAAGGAAAAGTTATCACATTCCTTGGACACGTAGCATGACTTCTCAAATTCCCCTCGAGCAAAACGAAAGACTACAGTGCTCCAAAGCTCCTTGGAAGCAAGGGGGAGGGGGAATAATATCAAACACTTGATTGTTGATTGTACACTGCTAGCTACTTCAAAGATACATCAAAGAAGGCATCATGCACCTTCTGTATGCTGAAATGCATTGTAAGGTGCGAGTTTTGCCTGGACTAAGAGGAAAGAATGCTTTGTTACCTGCAAAACGCTCTTCATTCAGTTAGAAAAAATCACATACTCGACATGGTATCTTCAGTGGATGTCTTGTCCAGTCACACAGTACTTAGGTTTATTTTTTCAATAGCAGCAACACAAAAAAGGTCAGAGCTTGCTGTGCACCGCATTCACATTTTTTTCAGTTAAGCCTTCTCTAATTCAGCTTACTGCTGGTACAGCAAGGCACGGCACATTAGCATGGACTGCTGGAGTTCAGAAATCACAAGAAAATTTACTGTCTGTAAACAGTTCTTTATTCCGATTTTAGCAATCTGGATGCAATCGTGAGTTTTGTTTCTCGCTATATTAGCCCATTAGTAATTTGTATTCTCGGGAAGAACCGAAATCTGTTGGACATGTATTGCAATGAGTTGCTTCAGGGTATGGGAGTGTCTCACAGTCTTGTTTCTTTTCCCTCCCTTCACATTTTCCTCAGCACACATCTTACTATACAGGTAAGAAAATGGTAGCAATATGCTGTTTTGCACGCTCTGTGTGTCGTTCACAAATTCCTCTCATCACTTATTAGCAAGGGAAAAGTAGCAAACAAGGAAACAAAACTAGCCAATTCAGCATGAATTTTTTCAGCTACAGTTGAAAGGAATGCTCTAATGTGGTCTTTGACTGACTCAGATCATTACAGTTTGCTCTAGGAATGCCTCCGATAGAAAAGTCTGTTCAGACTTGTCTAGGTAGTTACAGAATTTCCTTCTGATTTGTGCAGAAGCTTAGGCAAATCCCCCTTCTCCGATAACCTTAACCAATATGGAAAGATGCTAAAAAATGACAAAAAGCTATCAAAAACAAATCAGTTGCTCTTGCAGAGATTCTGATTAAATAGTGCCATAAATGCTACAGTAGAAGTTGATAGATAATATAAAAATGAATGAAATGAAACTGAAAAAATACTTTGCTGTACTATATTTTAGAAGGGTAAATTTTTCCCTGCTTCCTGAAGTTTCTAAGAAAAGCTGATAGTCAGCTTCCTTTGTGCCATGCCTTTTAAGTTTGGATGAAGATTTAGAAAACATTCTCATATTTTTATTAGGCTAGCCCATGTATAATTTTGATGCTTTATTTTCAACTTTTCTATATGACTAGCAGACAAAAGTATAAGACTAGTGACCATCCTGTCACATGAGGAAACGATAGCCAGAGAGTGTACTGTTTCAATACCACCACAAACAATAGCAAAGACGGCTGAAAGCTCAGTCATTCTGCATTGTGGAAGGACAACCTGAGATATCCTCTAATTTCTACCACGGTCTGACCACATCTGCCATAGCCATAAGAGGTCAAAAAGACTAAGGAACACATCAAGAGAGTAATATGGAATTTTCTTTGTCAGCTGTCTGATATAAAAGAAATGTCTATGCACAACTGATCCTCTTGAAAGCTGTGAAATAAGGGTGAGGACCCTGACCAGTGCAGCACAGTACAAATCGGCTGCATTGAACAATCTGTTTCCAGTCTGGTTCTGGCTCCTGAGCACTTCCCTGATTTTTTTGTATCATTAAGTCATCATATAAGAAAAAGATATTATTAAATAGTAAAGCATTTAAAATGCAACCAAAATGTACTGCGGGGGGAGGAGTGAAATGGCAACTTGCCAGGGAACAGAAGAAAAACCTTACACTGATACAGAGAAAATATTGTGACCTAAGATGCAAATATATATATTTGCACAAATCATAGGCTTATTGCAGAAAACATAAAATGAACTGTGTAACACTGAACATGGAATAAATCATTAGCACACAATACAGTATTTTGATACAGCATTGTACAAACAAGGAAATTTAACTTGCATTTACTTCAAACTATTGCAGTAACTTCCTACTATGCATTACAAGTTGCTGGAGAGTACATTACATGAAAGGTGATTTAACTACAGGGGGAAAAAAAGCCTACCCAAATACTCCATTAGCTTGCTCTTAGCAAATGAAGTTTTTCCTTTCTACATAATAACAGGCAGGAATGGTCAGTAAAACAGCTACTTACTGGTGTGCAATATTCCACCATTGGATAGTGCATTTTATGACCTTTTGCAACACGACCAGAGAAGAAGCAACTTTGGCAGATGTCATAGTTAAAGTGCTTTAAACTTCTGTACCTAAGATAGGAGGAAAAAACCATAGCTTCAGGGCTTTGCATGTGCATGCTACATGTCAACTTGCAAAGGAATTTTGTTTGTTAGTAAGAGACGTCACACAATGCACAATGCAGTACAGTGTTCATTAGCTACAGAGGGTCAGGTATTGCTGCCATCAGAGAGCAATGAAGCACAGATATTTATCAAAGATTTGTATCTTAGAAAAAAAATAATACATACTACAAAATTTCTAACAACGAGCAACAATAAGGAATTATGCGGAATCATCCTCTCTCATACAAAAGATACTGCTAGGCTTTTTGTTTCTACGATCCTAACTTCATTCCTTTTCGTCTCCATCATGATTCCTGACACAGAAATTATTGAGCAAATAAAATTCAAGTCAGTCATGCCTTTCTCAACAAGTAACTCCAGCAAATTCTTATGTTCTGCATGCAAGCTAAGAATTGGTTGGTGTAGTTGCTAGCTAGCATCTCCATCGAAATAATTTGCATGTACAGAATTCCACCCATGCAAAAATCTCAGTGCACTTTCAGGCCATTATTTAGTCTCATCAACTCTATGAGACAGCTAACTATTGCATCTGCTATACTGAAGTGCTTGAAAGAGCCAGAGGCATAAGGGTTGTCTTGTTCCAGATACGCTAAGCAGTTCAGTCACAATAACCTCAAAAGAGCATTGTTTTACATGTACTGAGGCTTACAGTATTAACTTTCTAAAAGCCTCCCAATACAGTATCTTTTTGTCAAGTATGTAAACAGAAGCTCAATGACTTGCAAAGTCAGAGAAAAAAATCTGTGACAGATAGATTCAACTATCATGATAACAGATTTGTTATATAGATTTAAGAGAAAGATGAGATCAGACAAGTAAAATTAGACGCAAGCACGCAGCTCCCATGTTCAGTTTTCCATTTCTTAGTTCTTTACTGAGACTATTCATTCACTTGCCATCCTTTGATTTTCCAAGTGCTGCATTTTTCAATTCTATCTACTTGTCTTTGACTGTTTATGGAAACCTTGTAAGTAATTCAGTAGTTTCATAGACTGTATCTGGGAGCAGGAAAGTTAGACTTTGTGGATGTGTTAAACTAGTTACATCACGCCCTTAGCTCTTCAGTAATACTTATCATTTCCTAGCTGAGATATTCAAGGGGAATAAAAGAAGAAAGAGATGAGTTTAGATGATCAGAGAACAGTCCTGCAGAATTAAAACTCAGATTCAAAACAAAACATGTTCTTTATTTCCCATGTATCTCGCTACCTGTGGAGTTAGAGAGGAGAAAGCTGGACATGAAAAGCACTCTCCCACTATATGTACATATAAAAGGAACATTCATACTCTCCCATGTAGAGCAAAAGGATGGCTTGTGGTACTGCCTGCTGCTGTTGTCTAGCTGGTTTTTAGAAACAAAATTACAAAAAGCTCTTTGAAAACAACATGATACCACAGAAGGATAAACGCCAATAGTGGAAGATCATAAATAAAAAGGACACGAACCATACAAAGAAGCTATTAAGAAACAAAGTGATAAAACAAGTCTAACCATAATTGAAAGTGAGTATTTCCTTAGCTGTTAAGTGGATTCTCAACAAGCATACCGACATACAGCCATTTTACAACACACCGCCTTATTCACTGCTGTACATAACCACGGTTTTTATTCAAATATGTAAATATATCAGCAACATTTCAAAATCAAGGATTTCATATTATTGCTAAGTAAGTGGTGCTTACAGAAGATAACTCGAATACAATCAGAACAAAGACATGATTTTAATATAATGGTATCTCTAGCATACCAGGTTAATATTCCACCAACTAAATTCTCTTTCTCTGAAAAACGCACCGTATCTTTACGTGTCTGCAAATTTTCAGATCATCTCCCTGCTTTATACCATACTAGAAAGAAATTCATTAGGATCCAATCCAGAAAATACAATTGCATTTACAGGACAGGTAGAACATAAGGCAAATCGTATTAATTGTGTCATCTACCAATGCTTCGGTCGAAGCACGAGCAGGACTGAGAGGAAGTGAAATTTTAACTGATAAATTGATTTGGTTATCTGATCTTCAACTCTTGTACCATTTCATCCAATCTTAAGTGTCACTCTCCTCTTCTTGCCCTGTCACAATTATTTTTTTCTGAACAACATGTATAAAATCAAGGAACATGATTTGCCTGGAAACAAACACAGCTCTCAATTTACTAAACAGTAGTACGGATAGTAGAAGGGGAATTCATTTGTACCTGAATCCAATAATTGGACACTCCTTACAGATGTTGCATTTAGCTTGGTGTTTGGCAGTTTCAGCAGCAGCCACCCTGTGCAACACCGGCAGCCACACCATGGACTGTGGTTCCAGCCTCATCCAGTCCAGGAACAGCGCTGCTTCAATCTCAGGCTTATTATTGGCCTGTAATAGAGGGGAGAGAAAGACAAGGGCTGAGTACAATTCATCTCAAGGGCTGAGCGCAATTCATCTGTGTATTACCAGCTAATTAGCAGTTCCACCCATTAATTTCCTACATACTGCACACCTTCTCTCTGAACCTCTTCCAGCTTTCCCCTAGTACACCCATCCTGGAAAAAAAAAAGAAAAAGAAAAAGAAAAAGAAAAAGAAAAAGAAAAACTTCCAGATTCCTGGCTTTAGAGTAGGAACTGAACTCTATAATTAGCATTTCAAATCTGTTTCTCTATTTTCTATTACAATAGACGGCACTACCATGTATGCTGTCACAGAGAGAATCTTCACTTACAGGATCATCTCTCATGCCTGATTTTGTGGTTTTTCCTTTCTCTTATCTGCACTTGCATAGTACTGTTTCTCACTTCTCATTTTAAAAACACCATCTGTGTTCTGAAGCCCCCCAAAATTCCATGTTTTTTGATCAAAATTCTTTTCTCTTTAACATCCTTCATCATCATATTGACCTTCCTTCAAATTGCATCCATCTAACGAAATCATTAAAATCACTTTTCAAGCCTGCCGTTGAACATGAAAACTCTCTCTGCCTTCTCAAGTGCCTCAAAATCCCTCTTTTCACTCACCTTTCAATTTCTTGTCATTGCCTGAAAACACAATACAGTTTTGTCCCACAGAATGTGATACAATTTAGTCTCATATTCCACTACCTCCCACTTTTGCTCTTCTGCCAACAGCAAAAGAGCCTATTACAGCTTGCTGGCAGTCCTCTTTCTTTGCTTTCTTCCCCTCATATCTATACATTGTAATTAGCGTATATATCTGTTCTACAGTAACTACCAGGAATCTTAGTCATAAAACAGTATTACTACATCAGGCACTGTTCAAACATCAAAACCAAAATATAATTTCTACCTCACAAAACTTACAATACAAAACAAGAAAGAGTAAACAGACAAGAAGCACACAGCAATAGGAGTCAGTGACCAATGAGGTAATGGCGATATCATATTGGCAGAACATTAGCAACCAATTTTGAGAAAAATTTTCATAACTGATCTAAAGGAAAGAGCTATATGGAAAAATAAATAGGCTTTTTTTTTTTTTTAAATGAACGCTACTTATAAACTTTGATAAACCAATTACCTGGATCAGTAACTTCAAACTGAGAAAAACAAAGTTTCTTTGAGATAGAACCCCTGGCAATAGAAATGAAAAAATCTAGAATACCTTCTGATGAATGCGTTGCATCATTAAAATTGACTTAAAATGCTGCTGCAATACTTTGATTGAATAGAAATAAGGTTTTTTTTGATCAAGGTCTTCTTCTTGGGATATTTATGCTAATTTGGGAAACCATCCACAGATTCCTATGACTATGTTTAAGATCCACATAAACGGATTTCTGGTACTGTCGTACACATCCTTTTTGGATGTTTGGGGTAAAAATCATTAAATCATACATTGAGATAAAAATGTCTTGCAATTTAATATTCACTACACGTCTTGTACAAAATGAGAATAATCTTTTTTAATATACTGAAATATGTCTGAAAGCTTCTGCATCAAATCCTACTCCTCTGGCCTTTCAATTAGTTGTAATATTTAGGGTAGCACATGTCCCCTACCCTCCTCCTCCGGGGAAAACCACAGAGCGAAAACCAAAAGTACAGAAAGTCCAGCACTGGCAACAGAATAATGGATACTACCTTCCACTGAAGGACATCAATGAATTCAATAAAATTAAATTAATTCTAGAACTCTCTTAAGAGGAAGACATATTTACAAAATGCAATCATTTCGATGTCTATTTTTCAGCGAGCAACTACAGCAGGCAAGGCGGGGGTGAGGAGCTGACTTTTCCCTGAATCACTCAGTGAGCCAGCATCAGCCAGAAACTAAACTGGAAAAGCGTTACTTTAACTAGCGGACTACATTTTGCATGCAAGGGTCCTCCTCTAAATTTCCGATATTCTACGAGGATCTCTTAAATATGCTATGAAAACGTGAAATGTATTGAAACGCTGCAGTGAAAGCTGTCGACAGAATAAAAATGAGCCACTTAAAGCACTACTCTGTACGTCTGTAGTTGCTTTCAATTTGCAGGGAAAACTTTGCTGTGATGAAAGACCTTCTGTAACATTCAAAGACCTTTTTTAATTTTGCATTCACTGTTGATTACAAGTCCCCATAGCTGCCTATCCAGAGCGCTGCATCCTGGCTGTACAAAACTTGTGCTCAGGGAGATTAGGTGCATTAAAATGTATCAAAACTGGTTCTGAATTATATTACATGAAGGTTTAAAGCCAGGTGGAAAAAAACTGATCAGGGTCAGACAGTATAGGACAGACAGTTCTCAACTATTCACTGAGCTGCTCCTGCAATTTTTTTAATAATCTCTAAATCCAGTCAAGGCAGCAGCTGAAGATTCTACATAAGGGAAGAAGTCTGAATTCATACAGAACATATCTGAAGCAACAAGAGCAAGCTGTAAAGAATCTTAATGGTTCTTTTCTTGAACACATTTCTGTGGAACTCCCATTTTTATGGTAATAATAGAGTGAATCATAAAGTAAAATTCATAAAGCCTTTTCCAGCTTACAAATAGCAATTTGTTACTGGTGGTGGTGGGGAAATATTCAAATTCATTATACTCCACACATCTGCTTTTCAGTATTTATTTTCTAGAAAGAATGAGGAAACGGGGAAGTTGGGTGGTGCTTGCATCTTTATGCAGTAGTGAGGAGTTTAATTTTCCTGGGTTTTTTCCTCTTCTTCCAGCTAGTATTCTTAAAAATATTCTGTGCTATATCAACTATATCTAGCCAGAACACGAAATATGCTGCAAAATACACTCTTGGAAGTTTTATGAACAATGCGATATGTTTTTGGATAAAGTCAGACAATACAGCAATTTCTGCTAAAATTTTTGATGAGCTATGTTCTCTGGAGTTGCAGTGTAAGACATAATTTGTAAACAAAGTAACATTATTAATTTAGTGGTGTTTTCCATGCAGAATGGAAAGCGTCACGTTAGTTTAAGTAAATACTATTTTGGACAAAGAAACTGAGGAACAGGATTTTTGTGACTTACTAAAGTTTAAAAGCACAAAGCATGCCTTGAGTAGAAGCCTTGCCTCCCCAACGTTAGGCCAAACCCTGGTGTACCTTGTCTTCCATTCTTGAATGGTTTCCCTAATACGTTTATGCTCTCCCCATAAGAAGACAACAGTCAGTAATTTACAGTTTCCAAGGCAAATGCTGTTTCATGGTCGACAAAGAGAGCATTACTATAAAGGTAACTTTAGGTGATACAAACCACTCAAATCTGCCTTGACTCTCGGAGCAAATGCTTAAGATCATTACTTTGATCCCTTGCATTACACTTGCACTATTCCAATCAAAGGTTTTAGCGTTCTGGCAAGGACTAATAAAATAAAAAAAGTGAACTCAGGACTGAGTTATTGCACAGTACTATGTTATCACCACTTGCAAAACACAGTCCCTCCCCATTCCCCGAATCACATCAAAGTAGCTCTTTAAACCAGTTCACTTTGAGGAACTCTTCATGAGTGCCTCCCAAAGTCAGGTACAGGTTCACAAAATCCTGCTGAGGTAAAACCAGAGAAGTGCTGTTCTACGACATTTACAGCGGAACAGCTTGAGGAAGGATTTGCTAGTTTCCCCTAGGCCAGCTCTCCTGTGTCAGAGCCAGGAGCAGAAGAAATACCCAACGAGTAGAAACAAGGGCGAGCTGGATCTCTCAAAAGCACAAAGAGAGCGAGTCTCTCAACAGTAACACTGTATGTGCACATTACGTTCATATTGATATAAGTTCTACATCTATCAAGAACTATAGTTATTATAGAAAGTATTACTATTCCCTACCTGTTTAAAAACCAACACAGCAAAGCCTCTCAGCCCTCTCCCTCGAATTAACTGCCCATCCAAATAAAAATACTACATTTATGGCCAAAGTCAGTATCAGGTCCTAGCCCAGGATTTGCAATAACCAAATTCCACCTAAAAAAGACTTGCAGACCCCTAATTTGGCTTTTGTTTGTCTGAGTGAATACATTGAATTTGGATACATATTTAAGTGACTGGAAAAAGCAATGCTCTCTACTGCCAATCTTTCTTGTTCACTCATCAGTACAAATGTAGAACTGAAGACTGTACAACACAAAATTAAAATATCTTCTTCTGTGAAAATGCAATGAAATAAGGTCTTAAATGTAGATATGAAATAACTACATATCTTACTCATCCTTAGTTTCATCTGTACTATTTTTCATATAAAGTACGCTTCTCAGGTACACTTTCAGAAAAAAACATAAATAAAACAGTTTATAACAAGGAATCAAATAACCAAAATTTTATTGGGACATAGCAACAAACATTTTAATCTGAGCTGAACTGTCTCTTGCTCTCACCTCTTGAAGTTCCAGTGTCACAATCATAAAAGGCAGTGATGTAAATATTGTACTTACGTCCTGTCTGTATCATGCAAGGAAAGCACGTTAACAATTTTCCACTCTGATTAAATACATGCCCCCTAGTTCACAACACTTTGCTATCCTCTTTACTTAAAATAAAATGTAACCGTTACATATCTTAAAGGAATTACTTGCCTACCACAATAATAGTGTACTGAATTCACTGGCTTTTTCACAGATCTATAGATTGCATATGAAAATAATGCAGTCTGAGTCCAAGCAAAACTATACGTTCTTCAAATGGTCATTAGATCAAACACTTTGCTCTCACATGAGATATTTTTTCTTTAAAAGCTCAAAACATAAATTACGTTTTCCCCCTTGTGGGAAAGACATCACGAGTCCCATACTACCCTTTTTCTCCCCACAGTTAACGTTAGTACCTTTCTTTACACAAAGGCACCCGTAAAAGACAAGCGTCAATGCTAGTGGAAGCAAAGTTAAACGAAAGCAGCGGCCTGAAGTAAAAAAAAAGACTCATTCCTCAGGACAAAGAATGCACTTGTAGGAGCAGTAAGCGTTTTACTGCCCTTTGCACAGGCTGTTACACAGAGCAGCGCCGAGAACACAGGTATATTGACAGAACGAGGCTGCCCTCCCCCACCCTTCCCAAGGACTTGTACTTCAAACAAAAACCAGGAGAGATTTCCCCTGTTATCTCCGAGAACAGTAAATACCCCTTTTTTGTGCTGCTCTGCATGACAGACAAGGCTGTTGCCAGGGCACCTAGCCTGAGGGGGGTGGGGGAGTGACTTCTGAAGCACACGTTTGTTGCAGACTCTGACGTGACTGCAAGTTATTACTAGCTTATCAACACGAGAAGAAAAAAAAAATCTGAAAAAAACCCCATTCCTCGCTGTGGGTGCACAAAGAAAGACTTAACATTGAGTTCAGACATAATAATATAAACTGTAATTTTCCCACTATTTTTAAAAATTAAATTATTTCACTTCAATAAAAGGAAAAGATGGTAACGTAAGAGTATGAGAAAGCACTGTGGAGACAGGTACAAAGAAGTACTGCAGATACGGAGTTAAACACCAAGAGCACCTCTGAGAACTTTTACAGTTTTAGCAGGCCTATGATCAGGTTGGAAATGAAAAAGGGGAAAGGTATGAAAAGTCATGGTCAAGAAAGCAAGTGCTGCCTATTTTTTCACTGTGTTGTTTCTCCCTTTACAGTGCTGAAGCATATCTCAGCAAAAGAAGAAATGAGAAAAAAACCCAAGCGAGGCAGCACCCTGCACCTCCGCAGGCTGAGCTCAGGGTGGCCCCAGGGGAGCCCACGCGACCCCTGCACACTGCTCCTCACACTCCTACACTTCACTCGCTCTTCTCCATGCCTCCCTCCCGGGCCAGCTTTGCCCCTTCCCTGGCAGTCTCTGAGGCCTCTCCGTGTCCTCCCAACACCAGGGCCTTGTAGTGCCTCTCACACGGAAAGGATCTTTATGCTTCCCCTCTCCCTTCCTCCTGGAAATTCCTTATTTCTCTCTCTGTCTCCATCTTCGACTGCTTCTTTCCTTCCTATCTCCTCCCACCCAGCTCTTTGTTTCCTTCATCACTATTATTCCTGCCATTATTCTTACTATTGTTCTCACTCCCTGATGGCAGGCTCTCCATGCAGGCCCTTACTTTCCCACTTCTTCATTCCTTCTCTCCCCTGCTCCAACATGTCTGTCCTAAATTTGAATTTCTGCTCCTCTCCCTAGGACTTCATCCATCACTGCTACATTCCCTCACTGCCAAGTATTTTCCCTCCTCACCTGAGCCTCCCTTCCCCCTTTCTAGCCTTCCTTCTCTTCTGTTAGGACCTAGGTCAGAAACAATCCTCCCACTCCACAAGATAAAACTGTGGCTTCACCTGGAGGAAAAATAGAGGATAAAATTCCTCTTATGGCAGGTAATGAGAAGTACACCTATTTTTTACTGCAGGGAAGAGAAGAAAACCCCAGGTTTTGCAGTGTTCTCATTTATGAACGTGTCAAAGGTTGTGCCTAGTTGTGTTTAGGCTGAATCCAGAAATGATGGATGCAGTATAGCATTCAGCTTGTTGGCATTTCTTTATTTGTAACAAGACAATTTTGCTAACTCATGTAATTCAAATAACCATTTATTCCAAGTCTTCTATTTTATAAAAATTGTTTTAGAGTTTTTCACCTCTACGATTTTTTCTTAATATAAGCACACAGAATGCCTGTCATCTTTTCAGAAACATTTTTTTTTTTTTTTTAAGATTCCAAGGTCAACAGTCATCATCATTTTTCAGTACAGTTTTGTAAATGCTGCTGCCATTCACTTGGGAAAAGGGACATTATGGCATCCACAGATTCCTAAATTCATAAGGTCACTTGCACAAACAACCTTTTGACCTATAAGCTCAGACTGCGGAGTTGCTGTGGCACCATTTTGCGTTGGTCTCATTTAAAAGTTTAGCATGGAATTCCTTTACAAGTCTCTGAAAGCCACAGAAGGGCCTAGCCTAGCTATCAAAGTTACTGTGCAGTTTATCAGCGTTGTACCCATTGGATATGGCCCTATAAAGCATTCATTTGGAAAAGGCATCAAAGGCAGACCAGAACTATGAAAGGTCAAGACAAGAACGTAGGAACTGGAAAAATATAGGCCCTGTAGAATTAATTTGACAAAAGGAGTTAAAAAATACAGAAAAGAACAAGAGAAATGCCTAATCACAACTCAACATTTGTAGTCATTTTAGAATTCCATTCTCTTTATACACTATCATTGAAGATGACTTCCAGCCATTAGTATTTGTTGAAAACACTTGCAATGTTTTACTTATTAGAGAACCAAAACTGCTACATAATGAAATTTGAGCAGCAGGCAAAAAAAAAGGAAGGGGGGGACAGTTAGGAGACCAAGAAATGGAGTTAAGACCACCCACTCTCCTATTGTCATGTAGAAGATGCACTGAGAGTTACCACCATCAGCTTCCCCTTCTACTCACACAATGAGCAGCTGGCTACCTCTTCATTATGCAGTTATCTTTTGCATTTTGCTCTTGGCTAGGAGAAAGATGAATAATTCCCTTAACTCTCTTCCTCCCCAAATGAAATAACTTAACAATTTGAAAAAGAGCCTAGACTTCATTGCATATTCCTCATCAGGCAGGACAGAAATTCTTTTAGCGCTGTTTAAAGAAAAACGGCCTTACTCCTTCAAACAATGACACTCATCGGGTGCTGTCACCCCTTGAAAGCAATACTAATGCTGACGCTTCAGTTTAGTCAGTCAGGCCTATCACTCTGTTGGGCACCTGGCTTTCATTGGTATGTACATGCATAATGTTTAGATTAACCACTGCTGTCCATCTACATAGCAGCAAATAAACAGTAATCTGCTGCTGGCAGTAGAAAAATATAAAACCTGATATTGCCATAACAAAAGACAACCCACTTGTAGGGTTCAGTTACAATATAGGCCTTCACGGCAACTATATGCTGCCTGGATAACCACATCATCTAGGCTTCTTCCATCACTGCTACATTTCTAGTGAAGATGGGGCCTACAAATAAACAGACTAATTCAAATACATCTTGCGAAGAAAACAGTTCATACATCAGAGAAAAAATCTGCTAAGCAACCCTCAGAACCCCAATCCTTCCTCCATATTTTCAGTCCTCTCAGAAATGGAAAGGCTGGACAAAAAGGGAATGCAAAGCAAACAGTTAAAAGTGAGCAAACACAAACTTACAAACTGGAAGCAGCTTCGGACACTCGGTTCAATATTACTGCCACCAAAGGAGGCTACCTCCCCCAGCTGCCGGGGGATCTGAATGGAGTCGTGCAGGAGGAGCCCCAGCCGGCGCTGATCACAGAAGCCCGTGGAGCTTGCCACTTGCTTGAACAGGTCTGGGGAAACAAAAGGACACCCACCGGTGCTAAAGCATGACAAGTGGGATATAGCCAACACTGCAGAAATTCACTTCCATTTCAAAGGCTTGCAAAGTGCAGTAAACAGCCTTGATGGACAAGAACATAAATTCCTCTTCAGTTTGGCTCAGTTTGGTAATTTTAATTATGTTACGGGCTTGCACCTGTGAAGAAAGACCATTCTAATATAACGCCTTTGGCATTACTGATGATAAAAGTTATGATGCTGTAATAGGATTACCTAAACAGCAGGATCTTTGTTCCACAGCAATATAAATGTTTCAAAAATATTGCTTAACAGTAAAATAATCTCATACAACATATGGTACTTTTTCAACTCTTCACTATAAACATACAACTCAGAGAACCAATTCTCTTCAGGTGATGAGTTGATCTGGAAAACAAGAATTCCCTAACTTCGATATAACATAGTCTTTTAATCCAAGAATATTTCTAAAATGAAAGAAAAACATTACAATATTACCGAACCTGCCATCCGTTGGGAATGCTAGTAATTAAGTTTTCATTTTGAAATGAAACATCATTTTAAGTCCTGCTCTATTATTACAGCATTCTAGAAAAGAATCCTTACAGGACTAAATCATCATCCTTCCATAAGTTCAATTTAATTTGGTGGGAATTAGTTATGCTACATATGCATTGAGGAGGTTTTAGAGTTTGTAATAATAAGAAAAATCAGGTTAGTATTAACCGAAATATTTATTTGGTAATATCCCCACTGATGATACATGACGTGAATAAATTCTGCTTACTTTTCAAAGAGTTAAAAAAAGAAAATGTGAGAGAGAAAGAAAGAGAAAAGAGATTGCCAGCATAAGAATAATATGCTTTTTTTTTTTGGAGTCTTCTTAATATTTCACCCTATACCAGGGATACAATTCTTCGGTTGCTCCAGCACTGTTTGAGATAACTCTCCTAGTGTAGTTTGACATCTGTTTTCTGTGTGTCCGTGGAACGAACGCAGGAATGGATAGAGAAAGGATTACTTTTAAATTACAAGAGTTTCACTCTTGCCAAGTCTAGGCTTAGAATGTGTAATTTTGGGAAAAATCCTTCCATTGCCTCTGCAATCCTGATGAATTTTGCTGTATCAGAACCAACTCTGCTCCACTGGACAGATGAGAGGGGAGAGAATTTAAAGGGTGGGATCGCATCAGATACATGCAGCAATAGTACCAGTGCAAGAGCTGTAGGATTTTGGTACTGATGGTGGAGCCAGACCACAGCATGGCAGAAACAATCCCTTCCTCTACCACAAACCATTCAGCTTTTAATTTTCCCATCATTAAGCTACAAAGAATGTTTTACAATGTTAAAAAGGGATTTTACATTATGATGCATATGCACTACAGGAGATTATAAGAATATGAACAAATGTTTTTCATGATAACTTTTATAATCCTCAGTGAAGTATCATTTTTATGAAAAACTTTAAGAATACCTATATAGTTGTATTGGATAAATTTTGGTAAGTTTAAAAAAATTTCCAAAATACTTTTCTACAAAAAACACATGAAACATTAAAAGACCTAAACTGTGACATTCATAGTGTTTTCTAAAATCTCATCCAATTTTATACTCTTATGCACAAACTCTATTATTGGAACTGTTTGTTTTCTTCTTTAGCTTTCATCAACTTTCTGTAGTAAAACAATAAAATAATAATAATTGATGAAGAACTGGTATTGGGTCAAATCTTGAAGGTTTGTGGTTGTTGTTGTTAGACATACATATAAGCGATACCATTTAATTTAACCACAAAGTTACTCTTGAAAATTACTCTTATCTGCAGATCTTTTCCAGATTCCAGCCTCACTTTGAACTCATTCATTCCTTAGTCAACTGAAACATATACTAACTTCAAGTGGAATGTTTTTGAAAATTTAAGATTTTGGTCCATTAAAATATGCAGAATATTATATTAATATATGCACACACACAAATATAGGAAGCTGTAGTTATGAGATTAAAAAAAAGTAAACCAAAAACTCAGTGTGCTGCATACCTTTACTATTTATTTAAAGATAAGAATTCTGTTTAAGCATAATGTACATAATAAGGCTCTAACCCCAGCGTAGAAATCATTTAAAAAAGATAATATATTTTAAAGTGGTGTAATGCAAGATGTCCTGTAGATCAACATGGTTTTCTTATTGACTCTTCATCTCATTGTTTATACGTTTTCTCTTCTCCTTTGTTCAGTAAAAGGGTGTTAACACCTTTCTATGAAATATGTTAAATGTCAGTGTTTCAATTTGTCCAACCAAGTATGTGGGCATGTGTTTTTGTCTATGTAGGTGTACTAAACTGCCTGAAACTACAGCAAAAAACAGTTTAAAAATACAATGTAGAACAAATTAACACACTGTGAATCTAGACCATTCAAGAGAATATGTGTGTGCTATTTAAATGTTTACGTAGTAAATAGGAGAAATGAAAACAGAAAAGAAACACAGATTAAAATGAAAAAAAAAAATCAAGAAAATGACACAACTTACATCTGTACTTATCTTCCAGATGTGCTTTACACAGGGATACAACACCAGTTTTGAAAGACAAGACACGGATCCTTCCTGTTCGGCCCCTAATGAAAAAAAAAAAAATTCGCTAATAATATAATACTTGTGTGTCATAATTTGCTCACTATAACAAAATTTAACATAGTACTATAGCCTTATTAAATAAAGTCTCACTAAAAATCATTTTGCATAGTACATATTGACTGTTATTATGTAAGTTAGAATCCAAATATAAAATATGGTTGTGCTTCCACAGACATAGTTTAACTGAATCCTGTAGTTGTATCAATTCAACTAGAAATGATCTCATTCAGAAATAATTACTCTTGTCCTTCTTTATGATGAAAGTAAGCATAAAGAATCTTTGCCCTAAACTTATCTGAAAATGTCTACTCTCTTTATTGCTGCTGAACTATTCACAGAGCAGATGAGGGCCCTGATAAGACAGGAAATCATCCCTTTTGCCAAAGACAATTTAACTTCACTTTAATGAGAAACGAGATGTGGTGGTCAGTTTTAGAAAGTCTTTGCTTACTGTCTGTCAACCTTACCCTGACTCATATGAGATGGCAACGCGTAGCAAGGCACAAAACAATGGCCTGAGCAAGCAGATGTGCAGTTCAATAATTAAGCTTGCCCAAAAATCAGGAGAATGGAGGCAGACTATAGAATTTATTATGTCATTAATAGTACATTGCGGTTTCTGATCTCCTCCTCATAATACTCAAAACTCTTTCAAAGCAGTTTAAAGGGCCTCCTTAGGTAACTCCACATCTGTTCACGTACTATCTCTATTTAGCCTTCCTTTCACAATTACTATTGCTTTGTAATGTGACTATGATATTACCATTGATTTGAAACGTGACTGTGACAAGAATTTATCATCCTGGACACTGAAGGCAATGCAACAACAAACCTTCAGATCTTCTCTCAGCACTCAGGTTTGGTTCAATTTACTTTCTGTTGCTGACTTCCCCTAACCCTTTTATTTCTGATAGCATTCCAAATGTATGACGTCTACCGCAAATGAGACGTATACGGCATAGGAAGTTAATGTCTAACAAATGCCTTTTTAAAGCAGAGCCTTATCAACCATTTTGCAATGTCACCAGTAAGAACTCCTTAGGAAATAAGATAAATCATGTACAGGCATGCCAGATTCATGCATTAGGCTGCATCATTAAGCCAAGAGGTACGTCTTCTTTTTAATTCTATGAAAGCATCATCCTATGAAAGCATCTACGAAAGAGTCAACTGTGTTCAGTTGCTCACATATATCCTCTGCAACTCCTATGAACCCTGGTACAGATGGAAACCAGTGGACAAAGCAGAATTTAGAATTTACACCCTTTTGTTAAAGAATCTTGTGTTTTTAATCATGAATAAGCATTTGTTGCTTACCTATGCTTTCCGCCCTCTGCTCCTTTATTCTTTTATCCTTACTCCTCTCCCTCAAATCTTTTCCAAATTAATTATCATCTGTGCCCTGAGAAATTCCTGC